TCTCTCAATGAATTGCTATATAAAATTTGTTTCATTGTTGCAGGTCGGGGGCGGGCACAATCGTGTTTAAGGCAATGTCAATCCCATTTTGGCGGGCAGGCAACCCCCTACATTTCTCTTTTTAATGATATTGTAGCAGGTTAGTGGTGGGCACATAATTCCACGAGCTAGCGAGCGAAAAAAATCACTTCTCTTTTATAGGGAAAATATGGTACATAAAACTTGGGTTCATTGTTCCATGTCAGTGACGTGATTATTAAAAGCGGTGTTATTTCTATTTTGGCGAGCGAGCCTAGCGAGCGAGCAAAAAAAATCACTTCTCTTTTATAGAGAAAATATGGTACATAAAACTTGGGTTCATTGTTCCATGTCAGGGACGTGATTATTAAAAGCGGTGTTATTTCTATTTTGGCGAGCGAGCGTAGCGAGCGAGCAAAAAAATCACTTCTCTTTTATAGGGAAAATATGGTACATAAAACTTGGGTTCATTGTTCCATGTCAGGGACGTACGTGATTATTAAAAGCGGTGTTATTTCTATTTTGGCGAGCGAGCGTAGCGAGCGAGCAAAATGTTTGTAATGATAATTGGTTCATAAATTTCAGATTTTGTTGTTGCAGGTCAGGGCTTACACAATCATGTCTAAGGTGATGTTAATTCCGTTTGGCGAGCACGAGCACACCAAAACTTCTTTGAATAACGTTTGGTACATAATTATTAACTGGTTGTTGCAGGTTGGGGCGGGCACGTTAGCGGTGTCAATTCCATTTTGGCGAGCGAGCATATAGCGAGCAAGCAAAAAAAAATAAATTCTCTTTTAGTAGAAATTAATAAATAAACTTGTTTTTATTGGTGCAGGTCAGGATGGACGCAATCGCGTTTAACGCGATTCAATTCCTTTTTGGCGAGAGGGCGAAACAACTCTTCCATTTTTAATGATATTGTTGCAGGTCAAGGGTGGGCACAATTGTTTCCAAAGCAATGTCTATTCATTTTATTCGCGAGCGAGTGTAGCGAGCGAGAAAAATGAATTAATCTCTTTTAGTAACATTTGGTACATACATTGTGTGTTATTGTTGCCATGGTTGCAGGTCGGGACCCGTCGGGGCAGGCACAATTGTATTCTAGGCAATGCTAATCCTTTTCTTTTTTCAGGGGGACGAGCAAGTGAAAATATTTAATACAAAATAGGCTAGCAAGCAGTTCGCGCCAGCTAGGAGTTTCGAATTTGTTATACCACTTATATTTTCCTATTTTCATTTGTCTTCATTTTTCAGGGCCGTTTGCGGAATATTTTTCTGGTGGGGGAGGGGGAAAGATGCGTTAAAAGTTTTCGAAGAATCTCAAAAGCAAAAGGATTGAAGGGAGTTCGAGCGACCGAACTGGTAATGAGGGTACTTTTGCATTTTCAAAAGTAGAATTGAAGGATTTGGTATAGGCCTACACTACATTTTCGGGAAAAAACTGTACGTTTTCAAAATATCTGGGGTCAACTGCCCCCCCCCCCCCCGATGCGTACGGCCATGGTCTTTTTTTTTATTTTCCCCATTTTTTTCCTTTCCTTTTCTTTTTCCCTTTTTCTTCCTTTTCTCTTCTTCTTCCTTTTTTCTTTCCTTTTCCTTTTTTCCTTTTTTCTCTTTCTTTCCTTTTTTTCTTCCCTTTTCCTTTTTCTTTTTCTTTCCTTTCCTTTCTTTTCTTTTCTTTTCTTTCCCCTTTTCTTTTTTCCCCTGGAGCCCGTCAGGGGGGGCACTCTGCCCCCCCTGCCCCCCCCCCCATAGGTACGCCAGTGCACTACACTCAGACCAGACTGATAAAAAAGTGAGCAACTTGAACAAGTAATCCAGGAAATGAGCAGCCCAGCTCAGCGTGCGTTGCCAGGTTAAATCTTCACAAAATCCCCACCCAAACGACACTTAAAATATCCCCAAAGTTGCCAAATTTTGACAGAAAATCCCCAAATTCGTTTTTCATAAAACTCAATATTATTTTCATTCCCAAATATTTATTTTTCATCCCCAAAGACTTCAACAATCCCCCAATTTTTTTTTTTTTTTTTTAATGTGGGGATTTTGGGGATGAGAATCGGCAACGCTGGCCTAGCTTGTCACTTCGGCGGTGGCCCGTGTCCTCAAAAAAGCTGATGGGGGGGGGGGGGGGGGGGGGGACTCTGTGACATTTGTTCGCCCAACCCCCCCCCCCCTCCCCCAAAAAAGAAATAATAATAATAATAATAATAATAATAAATGAAATAAATACATAGAAATAGAATAAAATAAAATTACAAGTTTAAAAAAAAAGATAAGATTTAAAAAAATGGTCCCCGGTTTTTTTTTTTTTGGGGGGGGGGTTGCAACCCCCCCCCCCCAACACCCCCTCTAGATCCGCTTCTGTATGTATCTATTAAAGTTTGTATTAACCTCATGTAAATGCGGTGTTGTTCTTCTACAATTGCTGTGATGCAGTTTAGATGTATTATATGATACAGGGGCACAGGGCTATCATGTTAAACAATATTAGTTATACATGTACTTTTATTTCGAATTTATTACATTGTTCAGTCCACTTTAATGTTGCCCTACATGAACTATGGTATACTTGCCTGAGGTAGTTCATTGAACCCAAACCGGGCAAAATCCTGGTTGTTCAAAAAAGAGCAATACGTACGATTTGCAATGTACCTATTCGTACTCACTCGAGCCCTCTCTTCTTTCATACTAAGGTACTGAGAGTTCAGGATATTTTTAATTTACAATGAGGCTGCCTCATGACTTGCTTCGGCTGAAAACCAACGAACTGCCCCAGGCACTATCATATTTGTTTTAAGAAAAGAAATCAAGTTCACGACTATCCGACCCTACAGGCGTTTTCCTACCAACCTTCCTAGAACGAGAATACGCTTTGCTCAACATACCTTAATATATAAGGTCCCAAGTTCTGGAATTCTGTCGATTCTGTGGTTAAAAGGTCTGTAAGTTCATGTATTCAGAAGAAAATCGAAATGTCATTATTTGAATACATATTGTCATTCCTGATTCCTGACTATTTTTGTCTCCAAGCAGTATACTTTTCTTGATTACAATGAGTAAAGAACAGTATATGACCATGCCAACTATAATGTCGATATTATACTCATATTGGGACCAAACTATTGTTTCAATAAGTTGCAGATATATTCCCTTCCCTTTCCCTTTTTTGTGTAATTAATTGTGAGTATTGGTTAATGAATCCCTATAATCTCTCTCCTTTCCCTGTTTTAGCGTCTATTTGTATTTTATAAACCTAACTTAAGTTAATTATGTCATTTGTAGTTTAAGGAGCCTGTCCACAACAAGCTTTGCTTTTCCATAGGCTCCGTCACTATATCTCAATTGTCTGTATAGTGTGTACCGCGGTACTGTATGTACATGTATATTATAATAATTTTTCAATATGTTGTATATGCAATCTTTATAAAATGAGATACTGTGGAAAGCAATAAACTAACTATCTAGCTGGTATTACTACTAAACAGAGCACGTCACAACTTTTCCAAGAACCCATCACCATTGCATCTTGTTACTCAATTTCCAAACAAACGCAACTTCCTTACAGAGAGCCACGACATTTATATTCAGAAGAGACACTAGGTATGTATATATACAATCTTAATGAGTCATTTATTTTTCTGACTACCAAGTAATCTGTATAAAAACACATCATCATTGTTATGGCATAAGTTTGCAAACACGTCACCTCTGACAGAAATACTGTTCTATGACACATTGTTTGTTATACGTATGGGTACTCGCTGTTCCCTCAACATTTTACCAATAAAATAAGTATAACCGAACAAAACAAAACACGAACCCTTACTCAACCACGAACAAAAAAGTATAGGCATATCAGCTGATTTCCTAAACTTGTGATGTTCTTTGAAATAAACAAACTTAGGTTTGTCTACTTCCAGTGGCGTATCCAGGACAGAGTGTAGCCGATGTGTGCCCCCTCTCTTTTAAAGGCACATAAAAATAGTTATAATAATTATACAGAGGTATATCATCTCTCTTTTAAAGGCACATAAAAATAGTTATCATAATTATACAGAGGTATATCATGGTGGTAAGAATTAACATCGACCCCCCCCCCCCCCCCCCAATCAAGGGAGAACCTGCTCTTCCTTATCGAATTTTGAATACACAATTACTAATGATATTTAACGACTGACTGCAAAACATTAAAAACAAAGCAATACATAATCAACAATGGAAAATAAATATCATTTAAAAAAACAACGATGTGTAGACAAAAAAAGTGGCGTTTTTGTCATGAATACTGTCCTTAGGCCTCAAGTCACACCAACGACATCGGCACGAGATCGACTACGTACATGCCATCACAATATTAAACTACCCTCGGTCTGGGGGGCGTTTCACAAAACTTGTCATCAGTGACAAACGACAGTTTTGGTTATAAGCTACTGAAATCCTTGCTTCTGATTGGTTATCAACAGATTTGTCACTGATTTTTGTCATTTGGCATTCAAAAAAGGTTGTGTGAAACGTGTCCCTGGAGCAGGCGCAGATCCAGGATTTCTTAGGGGAGGGGGCCCAACTTTTTTTTTTTTTTGCTCCCGAAAATTTGAAAATCGCGCCAGCCGAAAAGTCGTTCAGTGGGGGGGGGGGGGGGGGGGGGGGGGGGGGGGGGGGGGGGGGGGGGGGTACAGAGCACAATTTTTTTTTTTTTTTTTTTTGCTCCCGAAAATTTGAAAAACGCGCCGGCCAAAAATTCGCTCAGTGGGGGGGGGGGGGGGGGGGGGGGGGGTAGTGAGCACATTTTTTTTTTTTTGATCCTCAAAAAAAATTTCAATTTGCACCCCCCCCCCCCCCCCCCCCCCCCTTGAGCGCCAGGGGGGGGGGGCCCAACCCCAAAAAAGGTAAAAATCACGTGATTTTACATGATTTTTTTCTCAAGGGGGGGCCCGGGCCCCCCGGCCCCCCCTCCCCTGGATCCGCCACTGCCCTGGAGTCAGGTTGGAGACAGTTCGGCAGTGTGACTGAGGTATTACATATTTTTATAAGCATTACAACTGTCCTTTACTGATGATGCAAACAGCCATGGAAACGTTGACGATGATCCCAATGACATGAGCTAGCAGGCGGGAGGGTTGCGGGAGGGGTGAGAGGTAGGCTACGGTGTGGAAGACTCGAGAGAATGCGAATGCCCGGAAGAGAAGCGAAGCTGCATTGAAGGTAGGCTCTGTTGCTATGTAAAGCAAGCCCAATGCGATGAAAGGAACGATGTTTTCAAGATCGTTTACATGGCATCTGTAAAGGAATGAAGAAAAAAATGATATAATGTTATCCTAGGTCTATGTAATATAAGATACGACCGCCCCTTCCCTTACTCTAGAAAAGAAAAATAAATTTACCCTTTTTACTGTAACCCCGCCCCTCTCCTCCACCCCGAGTTGCGAGAAACGGATCCCGGGAAAATTGTCATGCTTTTTTTTTTGGGAGGGGGGGGGGGTGAGTTGTTCTAACCTCCACTTAAGTATAAAAAACAGTTAATTTTGTTTATTTTTTTAATAATAATAATTATCATTAATATTATTATTGCTATTATTGTTGTTGGTTCTATTATTATTATTTTCATTATTACTATAATCGTTATTATTATAATTGTTATTGTTATAGTAGTAGTAGTAGTAGTAATTCCTGTAGTAGTAGTAGTAGAAGTAGTAGTAGTAGTAGTAGAAGTAATATTTTATTTGGCGATAAATAATATACAAATAAAAAGAAGAATCTTGAACAGGTTTTCTTATACCTTTTAAGTCTTTCTACATTTTGATCATCATAAATAGGTTTGAGTTTATCACTGTCGTCTCGGGCTAAGGCTAAGTCTTCATGGTTGGCAAATACCTGGAAAGAAAGACAGAAAGAAAGGAAGCAAAAAAGAAATAGAAAGAAAGATAGACAGAGAGTAAATAGCAAGAAAGAAATAAAGAAAAAAAAAGAACAACGTGAACTAAATAAGCGTTTAATAATGTTTCACCCCTATAATATTACAGCTCGTTGCAATTATCGTAACATCCATAAGGATTCTTTAAAAGGTGTAATGCAATGGTTAGACGCAATAATGTTTCTGTTATAACACATGACATGAATATCGGCGCACCTGTCTCACACACAAAAACAGAGAAATATATACATTATATTTTCGATATTTCATATTTACGTTGCCAACTTTTTAGCTTCCTTGAGCTAAATTTCACATCTCCAAATGGGTGTCGATTCGGTTAAAAATGGACATGTGTGCCACCCACTGCTTTTGCCTGCAGTGTGCCTTTACTTCACTCCTGTTTCTGTCCATCTTATAAGAAAGGGGGAAATCCAAGTTTTACTCAAAATCATGAGACCCGTCTGCAAACCAACTTTAATAGGCAATTTCGGCCTCTCAGTGGGAAGCGCATTTCTCGCAATTAACCAATTACCTGTAAGCATGCTATAATTAATGCTCTTTATTCATTCACATTCTGTTTCGTGGCCGCAGTGATCTAATTTGCTTTGAATAGTGCACTTCTTAGAAACTAAAATTCACCATTTACGGAAGGAGCGATTCAAGAATTTTCTTGAATTAAAAGGACGATATAATTATGTCATTCAGACAAATAGTAAACATTACAAAGCATCTATTATGGTTGTTGTGTACTATAGGTAAATTTTGATATCAAAGGAGGGGGAACGGGCCGTTGCGCTCCATGCACTAAATCGGGGATGATTGTGATAGGTGAATACTTTCATGATACCTATTTTCTTACTGGAACAATCACCATATTAAGCAAAACTTGGTGAACGCCAATAATAATTTATAAACCATAAGGAAATACTCTTATCCTGGCCACGTCATTTTTTAGAATAAATATGTGCATCCAATGAGGGTTACCGATGTCATTATTATGCATGATTTCAAAAGCAGATAATGTATTTCAATTGGAAGAATAAGACTTGAGCACAGTTAAGTTACACTCTAAAAAAAACTGCTCAATTTGAGTCAAAATGTTACTCTTTTGGGTGGTCAAAAGGAAACCACCGACTTTTGAGTAAACTTTACTCAGCATGTGTTGAGTAACAAATCTACCCATCTGTTGAGTAAAAATATTACTCAATAAAAGACTAAATCTCTACTCAGTTGAATGAGTCAACCTTTACTCAATATTTACTCTTTGTTTAGCGGGTTTCCTTTTTTACTCAGTACTGGGTAGAAACGTAATCAACTCATGTCGAGTAAGAAACTGCTCATGAGTTGAGCCAAATTTTACTCAATTAACGAGTACATGTTTTGACTCAAATTGTTTGAGCGATTTTTTTGCTCAAATATTGAGTATGTTTTCTGGGTAACGCTTAGTTGCTCAATCAATATTGAGTAAAAACATGTACTAAGTTAAGTACATGTTTTTACTCCATTAGGGGTGCAAACCGATGCAATAGCAGCACCTTTAGGGGTTCAATCCTGCACCCTTTAAAAGGTGCAATCCTGCACCCATCATCGAGGAATACTGGTAAAATTTGCTCGTACACGAATACATATTAAACATGCATGATGTTTCTTGGTTAGTAATCATATAATCAATATATCTATTGCTAAAACGTGAATGTAATTGTAACATGATCAGACAAAATAATATATTGGTTAATGATTGCCAAAGGAAAATACAAAATCAAAAAATTGATGTGCATTGTCATAATTTGCTTAACAAATCATGATAAATGTATTTTTATGTGAACACGTGGAAAGTAATCATGAATATGCATGCAATATGCAAACTTTTATTTTGCACCCTCTTTTGGTCGATAGGGTTCATTTTTGTGGGAAGGGTGCAAAATCTTATTTTCCCCTTTTCCTTCAATAGGGTTCATTTTTATGTAAAGGGTGCAAACTCTTATTTTGCATCCTTTTTTGCACCCTTTTTTCTAAGAGTGTATCTCAGTTCTTTCGCATCTTTCTGCACGCGCACATGCATGCACGAGACATGCACATGACGGACAATGAAAGAGTACAAAATATCCAGTTCCTTAGGTAGACAAAGGAACATACAGCTGCTATTATGTAAAAATGTGTAGAACAGGTGTCACATGCATATTGACAGCTAGTTGCACTTTCCATCGATCCAACTTTCACTCGCACCCGAGGTAAATTCGGGTAAGAGAACAATGTTGATTTATTTATCACCTGCCGCAGCGTAATACCCAAACGTAGTTTACTCAAAATTGATACAAACGAAATTCGTACTCAATGTGAGTCATTGATTACTCTTTATCGAAGGTAACAAATTACTCGGGTGACGAGTACCACTAAAATCAAGGTCTTACTCCAGCTTGAGTACTGAATTGCTCATTTTGTTACTCAACTTGTTTTACTCGGCACAATTTACTCGCTGACATTAAGAGTGTACCTTATAAACATCTGGATCGGGACTCGAGAAACCCTCAACCTCTCGAATAAAAGTGGAACAAAACAACCATTATATCATAGTGCCCTCATATTTGTAGGAAACGTTAGTACTCAAATTTCAGACACAGCGATAACCCCTCAATATGCCACGCGTGATTCACTCTGTTCAGATACACGCAAGGGCATCAGAGTATTATTATCGAAAAAAAAAGATAAACCTGTATGCTCTTATAGATAAGGAAAGTCATCAATACTATGGTATCTGCATTCTACAGAAATAAAACGCATTACAAATAACATAAAGGTATACGGTTAACTCCACATTATATGTTTGGAAAGAAAATACACAATGTATACAATATACAAAAACAACTTTGAACCATCCTTTATTTTCACGGTGGAATTTTATTTTATTATCGACAGATTCGACTATATGATTTTATTTACCCAAAAACAGAAATAAGCATTTTGGAGAGACAAATCGTTTCGATTTTTACGTAACTCTTATTCGGAATAATGAAGATGTGTCATCACAGTCTCTTGTTTTGATTTTATTTAGTCTCGTTTGATGCAAGGTGTGATGCTTTCTCGGTTAATTGTTAATCATGTGCAGATATTAAATAGACTGAATAGCAAGCAGTCGTTTGGTGACTTCAAATACAATATATTACATTATACATGTAGGCTACATCGCATTACAAATTATTACAAAGTAAGCATATTAAATACTCAATGATTGAAAACACAAGTTAGCAGTTAATTGTCTCCATCAACTACCGCGGAGAATTGTTTAGTAGAGACTTAAATTAGTATCTCGTCTTTTTTTTACTCAAGTCTCAACCAGAATTGTAATCGCACACTAGTACAGAGACGTTGACATTTTAATTCTAACCCAAATCATGGATATACTAATTAATAGGATACTACCGTACGACCACGCCCAAGATAACTATAGACTTTTCTTTTCTGAAGTGCTATAAAAAGAGGCCTATTGAAAAGGGGGAACGAAGAATAGATAGCAGGATATAAGAGAAGACGAATAACAGAAGATTACTGAGAAAGAAGACAAAGGAAGAGAGATTGCGACCACCGATAAGAAAGCGCGCAAACCTTCCAGTCTTCGTCAGTATCTTGCAGTAAGAAATCTTAGAATATAAACCTGTACATACCTTGTTTTGAATACGGTATTTCGATGTCCACATGCCGACTGCTAACATCTTGATGATAACGATGGAAATATAGGTCGCGAAAAGGCAGAATATTTCATTTCAAATGAATACAAAGCTGCAGATGCCATGATTCAGAATGTTAAACTACAACTGACCGACACAGTTAATTTAGCATTACACCTGGACTGTGGCATTCGACCTTCAGACAAAATACTATATACAGCGAGGGGGCTATGAATGAAAGATGCAATAAGTGGGCGGGGGCGTAGTCTGCACACACAAACCTTTGTGAGTCGCAATGCATAAGATGGTGTCTGAATTAGGAAACTATAGAGAGACAGCCCTCAATAAACACCGCAGTTAGCTGCTCTTCTTATTTAAAATAGTCAGAGACTAAAATAGTTAGGTTATGCTCAAGATTATAAATAATTTAGATTAAATGATTAAACTATAGTCTGCTTTGAAAGACTACATAGAGGGAAGGATGATTGGGAACGGTAACTGATTACGCAATACCAAGGTCCGGGTTAGTCCATTCTCTGATGAGGGATGACAACAAAAAATGCTAGTGAAAACCATTACAACTTCCTGTGAAAAGACGGTATGGGCCCGTGTCTTGAGGCGCAAGCATATTTATAATTTAACTAATGGGAATGTGTTGTTTATGTATTTTTAATTGATTTATTTATTCGTTTATTAATTAATTAATCACCTACCCTTTTATTTTTTCTTCAAGTATATTTATTAATTCATTCGTTCATTCATTTATTTATTTTCTTAATTATTTAGGTATTGATTTATCTGTTTGTCCCATATGTGTGTGTCGCTCTTTCTTCTCTTATTCTTTGCACCCCCTCTCTAATTTTTATCTTTTTCTTTCCCTTTCTCCCTATTCCTCCTCCTTTTCCTCTCTCTCTCTCTCTCTCTCTCTCTGTCATCTTCCCTTGTCTATATCTGTGTGTGAATCTTTTGTTGTCTCTTCTTGTTCTTCCATTGGATAAGTCCATTTCAGGCAAGACAAACCACACAATACATAATTATAATATAATTGGAATGTTGGATGTGGTTTATGCTAGTCAAACCTGCTATAGTGACCATCTGTCTGCAAGGACCACATTTTTTTTGTTTTCCTTGGGCGGTCGCTATAGACAGGTTTGACTGTATTGTGAGTATAAATGGATCAATTATTTGATAATTTAACTCACATACCTTAATTTTGTACCACTGTGGTACATTTTTCTTTTCAATTAAATTCCAATAGAAAAAATTATTAGAAGATTATGATACACCTACGATACATTTCTAGCTGTTATTACTACTAAACGGAACACTTAACCACTTTTTCAAGAACCCACCATTGTATCTACTCAATTTCTCAATTTCCAAACATACACAACTTCCTTACAAAGAGCCACAACATTCATATTCAAAAGATACAACAGGTATGTATACAATCTTAACGAGTCATTTATTTGTCTGACTACCAAGTAATCTGTATAACTATAAACACATCATCATCGTTATGACAAAAGTTTGCAAACACATCGACTCTTTAATCAACAGAATCTGCCAGAAATGCTGTTCTATGACACATCGTTTCTTACGTATGGGTACTCGCTTTTCCTTTGCTTGCCCATCAATGTGCAAACATACCTTTAACCAACTTTAATGAACTGTTTAACCCTGGTACATATTTTGTGTGTTCAAATATAGTACCAACGGTTGTTGAATTGTGCATTAAATTGATATAAATATTTTATTCCTAAAAGTAGCTTCACCTTTACTTTTCATCCCCGTTTTGATTTAATCAGTACTTCAAACCCATAACTGGTGTTCACAACCTTTTGTCATACACTCAAAATGTCCCTTGTATACAACAATGGGAAGGCATATATTTATAACACAGGATACTCATATTACAATCCTTTACACATTGTATTTACACTGTATAATAGTAAGATTTATCAGATTAGTCAATGCAAAAAGGGGTTATGTACAAATATGATGTTTCACAGAAATTAATTTTAGTTTGACATTAACCTTTCTTCATACTAATATACTGGTCAGGGAAAAGTAAAATAAGAGCTGGATTTGGGGAGGGAGCAGTCCAATCCTTGGGTCAAGCAACAAATAAATTGATAAACACGACATTTTAGGATCATACCATCAGTTAAGAGTTGGAAGAGCGTTAACACTCTAATTCTGGCTCAAAACAGGGGAGGGTTTCACAAAGACTTAGATCGACTTTAACATATACTGCCTATAGAACTTTTTTCTTCTTCAGAATTTGAGAAATGGTCGTTTTATTTGCATATCAGAACACATAGGGAAAAACTGAATATGTGTGCCTGGATGTAAGTGAGAATGGATTAAAAATATGTTGCTTTGATACCAAACAGTAAATACTTCCAAGTACCAGTAAATGCAAATATTTGAAGGCCTATATAACCTGGTAAAATGACTTCAAATATAGCAAGTCAACTCTCTCTTACAAACAAATTATACCAAGGATTACTGCTTTCTTTTATCACCAAGTCTCTCCGTTAATATAATGTAATTCACATTATCTGCTTGTCAAAAATCGTTTGTAGAGACAGGGCTTCGAAATCTGATGAATACAAATTTATTTGATATAAACATTACTCCTTTTTCTTAAACAAAAAGCACATTTTGTATTTTCACATTTGACAAGCATGTTTTGCATTTACTAATGTGTTATAAAAATAAGTCAATGAGAGGTTACAAAACTTCAACTTAACAGAATTTAGAGAACAATGGCACATGTTTATTCCTAAAAAAGTGAGAAAACAATGCAATTTGTCTATTTCTAGAACATTTCAGCATGCAGTTGGCTTAACAGAGGTATACACATAACTCAGAATTGAAATGCTAGTACTTTGTTTAAGAAATGTTTATCTTCCGATACACTCTTGGTTCTGGGATCTGAAGCCTTGCACCCATCCTCTGTGCTATCATTCTACACTTGATTTGTATATGTTCAGAGGAGTGTTTCACACAGCCTTTTTTCAATGACAAATGACAAAAATCAGTGACAAATCTGCTGATAACCAATCAGGAGCAAGGATTTCAGTAGCTTACAACAAAAACTGTCATTTGTCACTGATGACAAGTTTTGTGAAATGGGGCCCCAGTTCTATACATTTCACATTATCATGGACATCAACCAACATGAAACATACAATGTATAAACATTCTCCTCCTTAAACAGAGAGAAAAATGGAGAATGATCAAATGGAAGCATCAATATACATGATTACTGGTATCCAGTGACTGCTCAAAAGCAGTATTTCAAAAATCATGATAGGTAATAATAATAACAGTGGGTTCTTGTATAGCACTCATATCTGTCAGACTTGACACTCCTGGCGCTCCACAATTATTACCCTGGCTTTAGCATGGCTGCCATTACAGCACTCTAGCATTCAAGGAATTAATTCCTGCCAGATACCCATTTACATCACCTGGGTTGAGTCAGAGTGTGGCAAATGTAGATCAATGTCTTGCCAAACGACATTGGTGCTGCCGCTGCGGGACTTCAACCGCGGACCTTGTGATCCACAGTCCGGTGGCGTGTCCACTCAACCACGACACCTCTGTGTCAAAACAGATCACGTGTCCAAACTTTCCATCTGTTCAGAGCCAGAAGGGTATTGGTGTGTTCAAGTAAACGAGCCAACATCCTTCTGGCTCTTAACAGATAACACACAATTGGCCCGGAATATACCGAGGGTTCAGTGACACAAAGACGTAACTCCACATTTTTTTTGAAAAATGAGTATTTGATATCAAAATGTTCAGAAAAATGTGGGCTTTCGAGGAAACACACAGACTTAACTCCACCCAACACCCCATTGAAGTCAATGGCTAGTGAAACATAGACTTAACTCCTAAGTTAAGGCCAAAGTGCTCAGTGACACATAAAGAACTTTTTCTCAAAATGGCAAAAATGGAGTTACGTCTTTGTGTCACTGACCCCTCGATACGTTCATCACCTTTCTGTGAATCCTGCAGTCCTCCAGTGCCCCTGTTTCATAAAACTAGTAATCAATAACAAGTTCCAATAACTGTTATAAGCTACTGAAATCGTGGCATTTGATTGGCCGACAGCTAGTTTGTCGTAGAATTAATAGCATTTGTTATTGAAAACAAGTTTGATGAAACAGGGCCAAGGACTAGAAACAAATTCAACTACAGAAGACAAAGGCTTCTCTTTTATTGTAGAAAGTAGATGCCTGCTGATGCCTTTGACAACTATTACATACACAGATACATTTTGTGCAGACATTACCCAACAACCCACTGCAATAGAAATTTTGCAATGACATTTACATCATCTTTTACCCAAGGAGATTTAACATTGTTTTGAGAGTACTGCCCCAGCGTTTAGTGTTCCGTCTTCAGCTTAGATTCTCAAATGGGACTTGTCCTTGACCATGTACCTGGAAATGAAAAGGCACAGAATAAAACATAGAAAGATAAATTTAGTAAACAAGGAAGTTTTTGATTGCGAAAAGAATTATCCATTTTGGAATGTTATTGAAATATTATTATGTAACTCCTGTAGAAATGTTAAATTCTCACCTATTTGTGTTGTATATGGTTTTCATGACATAAAGGAAAATATTACAAATATTAATTTACTGCTTCATGTTGCTATATTTGCAATTTATATAGCGAGAGTTGCAAATAAATTTAAATGATGGAGAAATATTTCTTGTTTATGTTAAAATACAGACTAGAAGTTGAAAAAAATAAAACTAAGAAAATAGATGTAAATACTACTAGTGGATGAAGATAATTTATGATTTACAGGAAATGCAATCATAATCTGCTTTCAAGTAAATATATATATATTATTTGATCTTATTTAAACATGTGATGATTTGCTTGTTATAAATAATTATGTTTGATGACATCCATGATTTTGTAACTGAATAAAGATTTGATAAAAAATAAAAAAAAGTTACCAAGGAGAGATAATCATCACAAAGAGATATGACTCATGTAAATGTTCTTTAAAGGAAGTTCATTAAAATTAGGCCCCTGCTTCTGACTCACTGTATTCTGGCCTGTGCTTTACAAGAAACGCTTTGATAATTTGATTTGATTTGATTTATTTATTTCTGTTTGATTTTCTTTTTCTTTTGCAGTTTTACAATTATCTAACAAACAAATCCTTTCAAATTTTATACATGATGAAAGAGTATATGTAGAATATAGTAAGGTTCGCTGTTGACAGGTGATGGGTGATGCAAAAGTGCTAATTCTGCGGGGTCTTTAAATATATTATCGGAATAGTATGCAAGTAGTGGAAATAGTAGAGAAGTTTTACTTACTTGTCTAAGACTTCCCAGAAATTGAGAAGTCTAGCTTTGTCCAAATGGCGTTTACTCCGACTGAGATCCATAACGTGTACATTCCATTTCTTGACATTGGGATCGATCTTGAGATTATCATACTTCAAATGGAATCCACGAACTGAAAGGAAGATGATTGATAAATAAAAGCAGTGAATTTCAGACCTCCCAATGGTGACAAGTACAGCAGTTCATAATAGAGTACCGAAGCTGTGATGTCATAAAAATCTATTTTGATAATTTCTTGATTTGAACTTTGAATTTTCAGAAAGAGCATCAAAAATAATGTCCAAATGTTGAAAACCAATTGAATATGTCAAGTATTGGCTGAGATATGACAACCAAATAAATAGTTTTCCTATAGAAAATCACTTTTATTTTGCTCTGGTTCATAACTTTAAGAACCAGAGCAAAATAATAGTGATTGAAATCTACTTTTTTGGATGGTCATATCTCAGCCAATACTGAACATATTCAATTGATTTTCAACATTTGGACATTAATCTTGATGCTCTTTCGGAAATTGAAGTTCAAATTTGGAAAAAACTCTAAAAGTAGGTTTTTGATGACGTCACACTTGACCACTCTATGGTGTTATAATCAGATGTTCGCATTAAAGGTAAGCTTCAGTTCTGGTAATTATAGAAAAAAATTCTCACATAATCCAAAAAAACTGACATTGAATCTTCAACATTGCAAATAAATGACATGTGCTAAACGATTTCGGTAGAAAATGTAAAGGGGCTGAGTAATGAGCATAGAAAGTAGGCCCGACACCATGTGCTTAACACAGGTCACTATGTGCACATGAGAGTTGTGGTTTTTATTGTTGATGATTTCCAGCAAGTTTTTGTGAGTTTGTTTTTATTTAACTGGTTCAAACAATCAATCTACTGCAGGATAAATAACCCGGAATGAATTATAATGCGATTCCAATACCAGAGCTCAAGATTAGCCTTAATAATTACATAATAGCCAAATGACAATCAGTAAATATCAACAAAGTCATTCCAGCTAAAGTGCCCTTCTATGATTCCTAGCATTTCCTGTATAGTACATGAACATTTTTTGTTAATTGTCGTATCTTCTGTGAAGAAGAGATGAGAATTGTTAAATAGAAAGCCCATTCTTTATTTCTGCCATTCGTCTATCAAATCTATGATACTGTCTAGACAAAGCCTTTCCTGGTTTTGAACAGCAATGCTCAATTCACTTTTATGGCAAAATGATAAAAGTTAAAAAAATATTTAAATAAAATTCCAATTATGTATCTAATTTGATACGGCACTAGAATTTTTTAATCAATGTACAAATGTTGAATAAGAGGGAGTTGAACTATAAACAACAGTTCTAGGACACCTACCCCCTGGACATCTACCCCCGGACAACCACCCCCAGTAAACTAGGGCAACCATCCTCTAGGACGACTAACCCCCGGACAACTACCCCCAGACAACTACCCTCGGACAACTATCTCCTAGGACAACTACCCCCTGGACAACTACCCCCTAGACAACTACCCCCTACGACAACTATCCTAGGAGGGTAGTTGTCTGGGGGGTGGTTGCCCTAGGGGGTAGTTTACTGGGGGTGATAATCCGGGGGTAGATGTCCAGGGGGTAGGTGTCCGGATACGATAAACAGCACATCAAGAATTAGTTTGGAGAACACTTACTTCTAGCAAAGATATCTACAGGATTGTTTCCATTCATATATGGCCATCCTTTGAATTGCCACGTTGGTCCTTGAACAAATACTGCTACTACACGATCCCTGTTAATAATAAAATTAAGAAAGAGAAAATGTTACTATCAGATATCAAGCAACAGTTATCATACTATTAGCATATGGGTTTTACACTAAATGTAAAGCATAAATCAACACTTTACTGCTATGATTATAATAATAATATAATAATTTTGTTTTCATTCATTCATTGAACTCACTGTCACTGCTTGGTATCTTGTATATATAACTCTAGCATCGACTTATTCACAGCGTCTCAAAGCGCTTTGCATCTAGCAGAAAAGGCGCTATATACATCGCAACCATCATGACAACTATTATTGTTAACCGAAGGAAGTCTCATCAGCACCAACGCTGTTCTTCCCGAGGGCCCTGCAATTATTATTACCCCAGTAATTGCTGGGTACCTATTAACACCTGGGTGGAGAGTAGCAAATGCGCATTAACGTCTTGCCGAAGGATGTTTGTGCTAGGCTGGGACTCGAACCCTCAACCCTTGGATTGAGAGTGAAGTGAATGAACCACTATACCGCGACAAAAGCAGAAAGCAGAAAATTAGGACATAACTCTTGTAAGTACATCCAAGATCTTAGAGCAACATAATGTGGGGATGAGGAGGAAAGAATTGACCATCCCTCTTCCAACAACCTCCCCTCCCCCCCCCCCCCCACCAAAAAAAATTAAAAATTCTAGACTTTCAGTTTTAAATCTTATAAAGACTAGCCAGACTCAAAATGCCTACCGTATTTGCCGGCGTAAAGGCCGCAGTATTTTGGAAGAGAAAACATCAAAAAGTCGGGGTGCGGGCTTTACGACGAAAGAGTAAAAAAAAAAGTCAAAACCAACACGAATTTGCACGTATGGGACTAGAAACGGTAAAATAACAATACCACTATGGTACAGGACATTTCCAAACATCTTACCGACAATTTTATCTTGCATTGTTGGCATGAAGACGAAAATAAACGTCCTAACACAACATTTGCCGATAGATCTTGACCTTTGTGCCAATGCATTGCAAAAGTAAAGGAAGGGACAGTCTAACGGAGCTGCCGCGAACATCCATCCGAAGTCGCCATTTTGTTTTTCCATTTCATGCAGTTTCGCATTACACCGTACATTGTGGTAGGGGTATATCGGACACCAAATCTGCCTGCGATCACTTTTTTAGGTAAACTTCCGGTAAATTATAAGAATATGGATGAATTTGGTATCAGTTTGTAAAAAAAAAATAGTGTTTTCGAGAAAATTATGATTATTTTATTTTGTCCGTTTGTTTTTTTTTCCTTTTTTTTCTTCCCTCTTTTAAATGTCAAAGTTGGGGTGCCGGCAAATATGGTAGTCAATATTGATTGCAATGGTATTAATCTACAAAGACATACCAATTAAAAAAACAACAACAACTAAATCAATGACCTTGACGAAGAATTTGCATCACCGTTAAATCTGGTTAATACAATTTGAGGCGCTTACCAATCCGCTCGAGTGAGTTTGGTTACTGTGTCTATGACTCTGTATGGCACTGTACTACCATCGTCTTTCCTTCTCTGAATTAGGACATCATTCTCCTTCCTGGAACCTTGCTTCTTCTTTTCATCCGACGTCACAAACCTGCAGCAAGAAAAAGGAAAGGTTTTTAACATTACACAGAGCTGCTAACCTTGTGGGACCAAAAAAAGGAACCATGGCAAAAAAAAGGAATTCAGTAAATCAAAACATACAACCATGCGTGACACACTTCCAATGCAGAAATGTCCATTCCTAATCATTGCTCATGCTGTTTTTTCTATACAAGCAGGTATTTTTCTTTGTTATTTTGGTATTATCGGCATTTCATTCCTTTTGAGAATATTTTTCTCTTCAAGTATGTTTTAAACTTAGTTTTCTATTGAATTTGTGATCAAATCAACATTTTAGGGCAGTTGTTTGATGTGCGGTTTGTAAACAACAAAAACAAACAAAAAATTAAAAACATATTTTATGAAGAAAAAACGTACCGTAATTTGGAGGAAAAAACAGAGTAAATCTGGCAAAAATGGAATGGTTGGCAGCTCTGATTACATGTTAGTTATGACAATTCAGTATGACAATTCAGTCCTATGGACTACAGGGGATAATATTTTCTTGAAATGTTCTTAAAGCGGGACTTCACTACTTGTAGCTACCTGCGCCCTCTATACAGCCAACAATGCCTAAGCGGTTCCCGTTGATCCCCCATGGTACCCTTTTTCTTATGTTAGTTGAGAGCTGATTTGATGAGATAACCACCTGCCAGTGACCACGCAGAGAGGTCTAATCCCCCTGGCCAAACTGGTGCAGATAGGCGTTAAGCCTTGCTCTGGACTGTTTCAAGTACAAATGCTTTCCCCATATCTGTAGAATCCACAGTGATGTGGGTCAAAGGTAAAGACAAGTTCTGGTCATGCGATTGCATTGTGAAAGAAACGTGGAATTGATCAGAAAAGGTTAATCATCTAGCATATAAGTATTGGTGTGTACTGCAAGGTTCTGGAATCATCAAAATGATAAGAAATTTGGCCCAGTCTTTGTAAAGTTACAAGCACTGTACACAGAAGATGTATATGGGACTGTACGACACATGCGTGATATCTATCCGGTCCAGATAGATATAATAATTTACCCAATATGTCAATTGGTAAGCGGTTTCCTGGCAAAATTTGTATCATCACATATTAGCCAAACATATTCTTTCACATGATTGGTAATAACTTTTGAGAGGGGGCGTTTCCAAAACTGGTCTATACCCTTAAACATAATGAGACAAACCTAAAATCTTGTAAAAGGTCCATGGCATTGTAGAGTGTGATGAGAGCTGTGGTGGCCGCAGGAACGATGATGATGGGGGTACGCGAGACCCTCTTGGTGGGCGTCTGGGGTTTAGGAGCTACCACCGGTTCTGGGCGTGGTACTGGTGTAGGGGCGACAGGCTTCCTGGCAGGTGCAGCTTCCTGATCAGAAAAGAGAGAAGATACTTTGATGAGACTTGCTGACAAAAAAAAATTACGACTTTTGATGCTGTTGTATGGATAGATATACAGTCAAACCTGCTTTAGTGGCCACCTGTCTACAAAGACCACCTGTCTACAAAGACCACTTTTTGTGTTTCCCTTGGGCGGTTGCTGTAGACAGGTTTGACAGTATGTTGGACCTCTGCAGGCAACAAAGCCTCAAAATGAAAATACCACTTGTAAACCCAATTTTCGAGTTCATTTCATGGAGAACCTAAGTATCTGAATGCATTAGTCCATCAGAAGTCCATCTGAAGTCACTACAATTCTGAGCCAATTTAGTTAGCTTTTCCTCTTCCAAGGAAGCATGAAATCCCTTGAAATTTAGATTTTCTTAATCACATGACTAGTCAGATTATTTTTGTTTACATGTTTGAATGTTCGTATCAAATGCTAATGCAAATTCTTTCAAAATCGGATCATAGTCAAATCGTAAAGTGTGCGTTGGCACAGCACAAGTCAACATTTTGGGAGGAGGGGAGCGGTTGCCACCAATGTACCCCGAGGGTTGACACACCTTGGGGGTGTTTCACAAAGATCCTAAGTCAAACTTAACTCTAAGTTGGACTTTAATATTATGGAGAGCCATTTGTAGCCTTAAAAGAAAAAATAAAAAAAATAAACAATTCTAGTTTTAGACTTTTCATAAATTACACATCAAGAACATGAAATCTCCTTGATAATAGAAAATATGAATGATTTGAATTAACATTTTATGCCTTTTAAAATAACTTCTACAAAATATTTTCAAAGATGCTAACAGCTTTCCATGATTTTTAAGTCCAACTTTGAGATAAATTCAACTTAGGATCTTTATGAAACACCCCCCTGGTCTACAAACGATATCACAGAGGTTGCTTACCTGTGCAGGTTTGGCGAGACTTGACATGCCATGGAAGGCACCCATGTGAGATCCACCGGTATCAATCTTGAAACCCTCAGTTTCTGTTTAAAAATGTGTGGAATACACAAATACCATTAATGTCAAAATAATAATCCAACACAAAATATGTTTTTATACATTTACACAATCCCTTCAAGCACAATACTGAACTACTTTTGCTAATCAGTATGATTCATAGAAATAATGAATAGGCAACACGCATGTTCCCAAAATCTGACTACCGGTATATATTTTTTCTCACAAATTTTAAGCTTTTGTGTACATCAATTTTGTCTGGTCGTAGTCCTGAAAAAGAAAAAAAAAGGGATTGAACTTCAACTAAATAACAATTTGTAAGAAGGGTACAGTGTAATACAGTGAAACTTGAATTTAAAGACCACTCAAACTTTATACCTCTTTTTAGCCTCATTGTACAACACATGCCAGTATATTGAAATGAAGTTACTTTATCATACCTTCTTTTCCCTTGAATCTTTCCTGATCGTATCTGTTGTATTGCTGTGCGGTTTGCTGAACAGTTTTCCTTCTTTCTGTGGGTTGCTGAAAAGACAAATGCAAGAACACAAAATAAAATTAAATATGGATTTATTCTCATAGAACTCTGTTATCAACATTTTATTTATAATAACCAAGAGGCAATGATATCATATTATTATACATACAAGCCTCTTTTCCCAGAGAATAAAATCATGTACTTGATTCCCTTTCTCTGATCGAGTTCAATAATGTTAGCATATTGCTTTTCCTACGTACAATACGTCTAGTCGAGGCAATGTTGGATTGGAAATATCCATGGATGGGATAAATTGATCTTTTCAATCCTTTAAGTTACACTGTAGTTCAATTTTGTTTATGTATAATAACAATTAATATTGGCTTTCTTTTGTGATATATCAGGGGGGTGTATCACAAAGATCCTAAGTTGAACTTATCTCTAAGTTGGACTTAACAATTATGGAAAGCCATTAGCATCATTGAAAATATTTTAAAATGCATAAAATGTAATTCAAATCATTAATATTTTCTATGATCATGGGAGATTTCATGTTCTTGATGTGGAATTTATGAACAGTCTAAAATACTTGAATTTTTGCATTTGAATATATTTCATTTTAAGTCTAACTAGATGGAACTTCAACTGCGCGCAGTCGAAATGATGCCTCCGTCATAGAGCAATTTTACAAACAAAAACAGAAGAAATTTTTCAAATTCAAGTTCAATTGTAATCCATTAACAGTTTCTCAGAATATCGTGATTACAAGCAATTTCTCATATACATATATGACCCTTTGATCTTTGACCTCATGACCCTAACATCTACTCAGTTCATTGGCTCTACAAGATGTCCCGAGTTAAATAGTAATCCATTTGTCAGTTCTAATGAGAATGCGTTCACGAGCTATTTTTGCATACATAATGAGCCGCATGACCTTTGACCTTGACCTTATGACCCCAAAATCTAATCAGTTCATCGGCTCTGCAAGTAACATACATGACCTAATTTTGGCAGGAATCCATCAATCGGTTCTTCAGATAACGCGATCACGAGCTGTTTTTGCATACATAATGAGCCCTGTGACCTTTGACCTTTGAACTCGTGACCCCAAAATCTAATCAGTTCATCGGCTCTGCAAGATACATACATGACCAAAGTTTGGCAGGAATCCATCAATCGGTTCTTCAGATAACGCGATCACGAGCTGTTTTTGCATACATAATGAGCCCTGTGACCTTCGACCTTTGAACTCGTGACCCCCAAATCTAATCAGTTCATCGGCTCTGCAAGATACATACATGACCAAAGTTTGGCAGGAATCCATCAATCGGTTCTTCAGATAACGCGATCACGAGAACGGGACGTACGGACGGACGGACGGACGTACGGACGGACGGACGGACGGACAACCCGAAAACATAATGCCTCCGGCTACTTCGTAACGGAGGCATAAAAATGGTTCTCCATAATATTTAAGTCCAACTTAGAGTTAGATTCAACTTAGAATCTTTGTGAAACACCCCCCCCCCCCCCAGATATAGTGCATTCAGCTAGCATGAATATTGCACTCGTCTTTGACTTGTGCAATATTAATAGTGAGCTGAATGCAATATATCTCATATAACACTCAAGGGTAGCCAATATTAAATCAATATTTCCATAGGATAGTTAGTATATAACCCTCTTATCAGTGAGAGTACACTTCTTTGTAATTACCCCTTAGAAATGTTTTGATCATACCTGACTTTGTGATGGGGTTTGATGTGATGATTGATTCTGACTCTGCTGGCTTTGCTTTCCTTCCTCTCGCGCTTTCACAGACTGAAGAATAGCAAAGATGTTCTTGAACTCCTGTTCACAATGAAAATAAACATGTTAAAGGGACCCGGTAACTTTGTCTCAGATTCTGAAACAAAATCCTGGATTTAGCTCATGCTGCAATGATAATTATAAACATTTAGGTCAGTCAGGAACCCCATGACTTTTACAAGCCAATCGCATGTCTGATTATCAAGATATTTATGATTGGAAATCGAAACCAAATTTTGCGTTTTCATAACACTACAGTATATTGGGGAAAATGAGTATGGTAAAACCGGTAACTCAAAGATTTTTACTCTTTTGAGGCACTTCATGATCATTTTGAAGCCAATTTTTTTAGGGCTTCAATATTACACCATATCACAGACACTGAAAACATGTAGGGCCGTGTATCTCAGATTTAACATTGTTAAACGATCCCTTTAATAGTAAATTAGTTGGGCTGAAAAAAGGGGTTAGGTATAATTGTGCATTTACACAAATATGATACCCAACTAGTGTTTCCCTGACAAGGTACAGAGGATTAATTTTAGATATCATTATACAAAGTTACAAACTGTCACACTCTTTTATCCATGCCTGTTATGTCAATTCATTTTCTTATCTCTATTCTAACACCTTTTCTTCACTGCTAAAGCATTATCAAACACATCCAGAACAATTCATAATCCACATTTCTTTAATTTCCCTCCTCAAATAATAATAATAATAATAATAATAATAATAATAATGATATTTAGCTGTTATATAGCGCTTAATACAAATGTCTCTAAGCGCTTTACAAATATACTATTACCCCGGTCATTGGATTCAGTGCTTGCCCGCATAATCTCCACATTCCAGTCAGGCATTACTTGATGCTCAAAAACTGTTTGACCAACAATGACGGTCGCATCCTTTGGGGTACCCATTTATCACCTGGGTGGAGATTAGCAAGTGAAGGTTAATATCTTGCCAAAGGATATTAGTGCCGTGTCGGGATTTGAATTAACTTATAGACATGAACAGTTAAATGTAATAATTTCTTATTTCATCGACAATACAAAAAACTCACCTTTCCATTACTCCTTAGTACCGACGTTCTCGTTCTCCAATTTCTTTCTCTGCTCATGATATCCCTCGACACGTCGACCTCTGCATCGATGAAACTTCTCTGCTCGAGACCTCCGACCCCGAGGTCAGCCTCCACGTCCGCTTTGATGGTCACACGTTTCTTGATGTGGAACTTTGCTCGGATGGATGCGATACGCTCAATGGACATGGTATCGGAAAGGGGTCTGTAAAGGTTTTGTCAGATAGCAATGTCCTCCTGAATTAAGATTATGGTTTCTAGACATGAATGTAACATGGTGTAGATTTGTGTATAATAAGTGGTCATTAAGGTTTTTTGCAGTTTGTCTAAAGTTTTGAAGTATAGAACTTAACTAGAGAATTATAGCAGCAATAGTAACCAGAAACAGAATGCAGCCGTGATTAAGACCAGAAATGAGCAGTTCACGCTTCGGATCTCTTCGTAGGCAATAGCTTATAATGGGCAATTTTCTAGTCATTCTCCTGAAAACAATCAGAGCGTACTGATCGAAACATCCTGAAAGACAGCTCTCAGCGGAGCTCACCAGCCCTTTTCAATGGTCATATTCAATTAAAAGAATTACATGGGATAACCCTGAAAACTTTACCTACAATTTGACATCACTAACTTACTTAACTTTTCAAATGAATAGTAGTGCAGTTTATAAGATGATGAAGCGAATCCTAATCAAATGATTGGTTGAGAGCGTACACGTGACCAGGCATTTATTTTGCCTAACGCATAATTTTACTAATGACCGATCATTAGTAAGATCATGAAATAAAACATCATTTTATAAAAGAAGTAAAACATCATCTTATAAAACAAATAATACACATCATTTTGTTCGGGCATTAGTAAAATTACCCCGTCAAAACACCTTTGGCTATCGCCTCGGGCATGTTAGACTGTTCCAAAGTTACCTTGTGTGGGTTATTTTTACTAATGCCTTCACTGCTGTGTATTATTTGTATAATAACTCACCTAATTTGATTAGTTGTTGCAACAGCACCTTCTTTATGACCCTCCAGTCTCTCCAAGAGACGTTTCTATGGAAATAAAAACATCAAGCAAATCATAAACATTTTAATTATGTTATTATTATCTTATTCTTTTAATGCAACCTTCTTAAAATTGTGATGAAGTTTAAATGTTATGTTGAAATGTAATTATTTTGTCTGTATTATATATTTATGAACATGTATAGCACCTTTAAATGTCCGAAGACAAATTTTATGTTTTTTTTACATGACAATAAATTATCTTGATTATTAAATCTTGAAGACAAAAAAAGTTGTTGACCAAATCATCATTTAGAGTAATCTCACTCTATGGAAAACTACATTTAAACATGTATATAATGACCACTTAGGGTAGATAAGAAAAGAGGTCTTTGTACGCAAGTGGTCTTTATAGACAGATTGTTTTAGTACAAGTTTCAATAGAAAAGAATTTTCAAGGGAAACAAACTATTTTGGTTTCGCTGTATTATAAAATGAAAGGATTTCTGACAAACTCATTGGCCCAAATTCACAAAGGAGGTTTGAAACGCGTCAAGTGATACACATAAACCTAGGTTTGTCTACAAACCTCCTCTGTGAAATCGGGCCATTAAGTACAACAAAATGAAGCAAGGGTTACCTTGTCTTGCCTAACTTCATCATCCTCAAATCTGATTTTCTTGGTTGTTTCTGTCTGTGGCTCTTCTGCACTTCTTTTGACTGCACGAGAAGTACAGGGAAAAAGACCTTATATACATGTATATCAGAAATAAATGGCTTCTATATACTACTAAAGATCAAATAGTTAATCAATTTGATGCAATTGATACCATAAAAAGATACCATTGGCAACACTGTGACGAATCATGCGAGCTCCTCTCCAATTTGCTCTGTCCAGAAAATTTCATAAACTATAGGTTATGATGTAATAAATTTGTTTCATACAGGGGTTGTATAAAAACATATTTGCAATAATTATATTTAGGGATTTAAAATTTTCTATAAGGGAAAATATTTATTTCGATTTATGATGGAATAGATTTTTTTCATACAGTGGCTGTATAAATCATATTTGCAATAACTATATTTATGGTGAATGTATCTTTAAAAGTATGAAAATCTTAAAATTCTCTAAATTCTCCTGTTGATTCCTTTTGAGAGTAGCATGCATAAGGAGCTCCATGAGTCCGTCTATGTAAAAAATACAATCGAAAGACTCTTTATCTGATTGATCTCATTTAGAAGTTGAATTATATGTACATAACTGCATAGGCCGATATCATAGCATGTTACCACAGATATCGATTAACTGAAGATAAAAAAGCATTTACATTTGCTCGAGTATATTACCTTGTGTTGGTCTTTGTCTTGATATTTCAGGAGGTGCACTCTTGTCGATATTTGCAGATGTTTCTGATTAGATAGAAAACAAATAAGCAAACAAGTTACAAAAGCATATAGATATAATATATAATCAGACATAGAGAAGATATTTTGCATTTCTTTGATAACTTTTATATAATTATGGTTATGGAAGTGGCTTTTACTGATTTGGTCATAAGAGTTTAGTAAACCAAAGCACTACAATCAGAAAGTACTAGAAAGTACTTATCAGAAGTACTTATAAATTTAAAAATAGTAGCAATTTCTCTTTTTTATTTGAAATCTTATGCCATTCTTCTTATTATATTCTTTTCATTCGGCAAACACAAGGGAGAGAGAGAGAGAGAGAGGATCTAAATATTACTCACTTATTTCTCCACTGAGATAGGCGAGGAGATCTCTCCTGTCAGGCCTACGCACAACTGGAATATTCTCTGCCTGTAAATTGGTAAGAAAACAAATATTTTGCACAATAAAATGGTAATACGACTGATAATGTAATAAAAAGGAAAAAGAATAGAATATTATACAAATACTCTGCTTGTATTTAAAGCAATAACATCCTTCTTTCTGTGAAAATGTCAGCTGAATTGTTTAATCACTTTAAGAAATCTGTACACCAACATAATGACAAAGCTGGGTTATCAAATAGATTACGCGATGTTGTGGTTTTCATACGCAAACAAATACAGATTACCCCGCAACACAAGCTACTCTAACCACTTTAACACAGTGACCCTACGGTTTAACCCTGACAATAACCGTAATCACAACCCTTACTCTGACCCTGACAAGTTGCACTGATGCATGGTGTGTTAGTCTGAAGTTAAAGGGATCTTTTAACAATGTTAAATCTGAGATGCATGGCCCTACGTGTTATCAGTGTCTGTGATATGGTGTTATACTGAAGCCCTAACAAAATTGCGCTTCAAAATGATCAAGAAGTGCCTCAAAAAAGTAAAAACCTTTGAGTGACCAGTTTTACCATACTTGTTTACCCCAATAGACTGTAGTGTTATGAAAACCGTTTGACAAACGCAAAATTTGATTTCGATTTTCAATCATAAATATCTTGATAATCAGAGAGGCAATAGGCTTGTAAAACTCTTGGGGTTACTGACTAACTTAAAGGTTTATAATTATCATTGCAGCATGAGCCAAATCAAGGATTTTTTTAAAGGATCTAAGACAAAGTTACCGGATCCCTTCAAGCCATTCATACTTACGAGAGCTTTCTTGACATAGCTGGTGTGAGTAAGCTTCTCGTTCTTGAGGAGATAGAGGATAGATTCTAGCGTGTAGTAACTCTTCGCCTCACCTTCTTTGCCAGTACTGCATGGAAAGAAAAGAAAAGGAGACTAGCAATCAATTACTATCCATTTATATCACAATTTTAAAAATACCACAATAGATCTATAACAAAAGTGAAGAAAACATGGGCAAAGACAAGATGACAACATGTGTTATTTTGGGGTTGCAGACAACATTGCAAAAGGCTATATTTCTGTAATAAAAATGATAGAAAAAGAACAAATATAGGTAAAATTTGTCATCTTTCTGTCTTGTTATTAATTCATATTTTCAATTTATTTTTTGTTCTTAGTTCTTACTTGGTTAAAACTGCAAAGGAAGAAATAGACTAGGAAATAGACAACAAATTTCTTGCAAAGAATCATTTTAGATTAATAATGTATAAATAACTAAGTTAAACATAACCAGTCATGTTAACAGTTCTGTTGACAGAGTCAACAAAACTTCAAAATCAGAAGAAGGACTAATCATGCATGACACTATTTTTGAGTGTCAGACAGTATCTGAAAGAAGCAAATATACATAATTAAAAATCAAAAACTTGCTGAAAATCATATTTACTGAAATGTAAAACACCAGGGAATAATTTTCCTCAAATATTTTGATTAGCAATTTCAGCTGATGGACAAATAATTCAAATGAAATTCTGTACATTTCTATGGAAGAAAACTGCTACACAAACAATATTTTGTATAGCAGTCATGCAAAAATGCATAGCAAATTGCGATGCGATACCAGGAAAATTATTCCCTGAACACCATGGATTATCATAATACAGATCCAGTTTGATTGACTAGTCACTTGTGCGCACCTGTGACACGTACACGTCAGTGGGTTTGGTACGGTCAACATCATTGCACTTCAGCCAATGGGAGCATGTTAACTCTGCGTGACTTGGCAGCGCACTTGCAAGCAAGAAAACATCGAAAACAAAAAAATAAAGATCCAAATCAAGTCTTTAAAAAGTTTCATTTGTACATGAGCACAGCAACAACCAAAGACTTGGAAGACCAGCTGACAGGTCTCAACAGGGAGAGCAAACGTATTGGCCTAACTATGCACAAAGAGAAAACTAAATATATGACTAACTATGACACAGATGAAAACATCGAAATAGAAGGTCGAACGTTAGAGAGAGTGAGCAGTTACAAGTATCTGGGACAAACTTTGAAAATGGAGGACACCACAAAAAAAGAAGTTATGATGAGAGTAAAAGCAGGATGGATGAACTTTGGAAGATACAAAGACATGTTGACTGATAAAAACATACCCATGCCACTAAGAAGAAGAATGTTCAACCAATGCATTTTAACAACTATGACATATGGATCAGAAACATGGTCATTGACAAAGGATCTAGAACAAAAGCTTGTGACTACTCAACGAGCTATGGAGAGAAAGATGTCGCATTTATCTCTGCAAGACAAAATCAACCACAAAGTCATACGCCAGAAAACAAAGGTTAAAGACATCATGGAGAAAGTCAGAGAATCAAAGTGGAGATGGGCTGGGCATGTAGCAAGACTTAAGGACAATAGATGGACAAATCGTTTAACAGAATGGGAACCAAGGATGGGAAAGAGAAGAAGAGGAAGGCAGAAGAGAAGATGGAGAGATGACCTAACATCATACATGGGAACGGCCGCTTGGACTAGGACAGCTAGAGACAGAAGAGAATGGAAATTTCATGAGGAGGGCTTTGTCCAACGTCTGGATGAACTATAGCCTGATAGATAGATAGATAGACAGCAGGACCTGTCTTAACTTTGACAATGATATGACTCGACAAGTTCAGAAAACATGGTCCTAGAGGGTCTATGCCATAACTTTAAAAATATTATTAGAAATTTTGGATTTTATTTTTATTTTTATTTTTATTTTTATTTTATTCTTAGAGCGGAGGAAGAAGAAGAAGAAGAAGAAGAAGATGAAAATTGACGGCATGCCAATTTATTCAAATCAATTTAAAGTAAAAATGTATTGCATAAGAAGGTCGGCTGTTTAGACCAACGAAAAACATTGATTTTAGACTTTTCTTGGAAATGATAGTAGACCTAGACCTAAATGCTTTTGGTTCCCCATCAATCATTGCTATAATCAATGATCATTCACACATCGGCCCCAGTGCACTCGCTGCGATTAAGGCCTAACCCTCGTCTCTGTACGCGCAAGTTGTGCATTGGCACAGCGCACCGGTCCGAGTTAACGTTAATCTACTGAACAAAAAATAGAGAACTTACCCATAAGTGACGTAGTTAGTCTTGGTATCTTTGGGCCACGAAAATTCTCCGAAAATGACATCGTCATTTCTTTCTGTAATAACCTTGTTTTGAGAATGATAAACACGAAGTAAACTTAAAACGTCAGCCATATCGGCATCTCTTCCTAACGTCGGTCGAAAGCAGCTTGAGCAGTTCTCACATAAAATGAATCGCCCTAAACCCAAAGAAGAACTAACTCGGCCAAAACACATACTCGCAAAATATGAACTCGGTCAACATTGTTTACTCGTACTTTACATAGGGAATTGATCTCGGGATCTATACTTGTCTATACCATTTCCCATATTATTTGAAACACATCTAGACGAAGTCATGTCAATACAATTCATTTTAGGCCTGTTTATTTAATCATGATATATGGCGCAGCCCAAGGTATGATAGTCTCATGAAAAAATTCAATTCATACTAGATAAATCCTATTAAGAAAGTCATTCCACCGCTGATAATTATATCCTTATGCCAAATAAAATATTGATTCCCAATTTTCTCCTCCGGTTTTTTTCTTCTTCAAAAGATGAGGAGGAGGAGAAGGAGGAGGAGGGGGGGGGGGGGAGGAGTTCTGTGTTATTTGATATTTGATATTTTCATGTACGCGTTTTTAACAATGGTTTCTAACGAACAATAATCTATCTGTTTCTTTTTGGTGGATGCCGACAGGCCTACTTTAATTCTAGTCGGCCAGAAAGTCCCCCCTCTCTCTATCTCTTTGTCTCTATCTGTTTCTCTCTATCTATCTCTGTCTCTCTCTGTCCCTCTTTGTTGCTCTCTGTCTCTCTCCATCTATTCCCCTTTCTCTCTCTCTCTCTCTCTCTCCCATTTTCTATTTTTCAATTGATGTCGAACTTTCTTACAACAAAAGTGCACTGAAGCGTATAGCCTCGAGAAGGGGCGGGGGTGGTTTTTGTGTCTTAAAATATCCCCCGCCCCCTTTGAGTTTTTTTTGTATGTGTATGTTTTGTGTATGTTTTTTGGGAACCCCCCCCCCCGCCCCCTTTAGAGCTTTTTTTTGGGGGGGGGGAATAAAAAAAAATAAAATAAAAAAAGATTATGCCAATGGCTGACCTAAAAAAGGTGGCCCTACCCCCCCCCCAAAAAAAGTGTCCTCTTACCCCCTCCCCCCGCTTATTCAGCGGCTGGCTGAGTCGTTGCGAAATTTTTGGCCCGATTTTAAACCCCCCCCCCCTTGAAAAAATCCTGCGTACCCCACTGGTTGCACCTGACTTTTAATATTATTGTTAGACAGCGGTGTGGCGCTAGGATGACTCAGGCAGTGCCCCCCCCCAAAAAAAAACAAAGGAAAGAGCCCTTGGTACTACATGTAATTTGTTATATATACAGTGCGTCCCAGAAAAAAAGAAACCGAGAGTTATCGATGTTTTATCATAACTTAATCACAATTATATGCTTAATAATTGACACATATTAGTGAAGCTTAGATCCTTCTCTTTCATTTGAGGCAACTCATTTGATGCATATTTCACGCATGAGCGATTAAAAAAAAAGGCGAATGTTATCTGAATTTTAAAGAGAAAATCACATTTCCAGAAAGTTCATTTTCTGCCTTTTCATATGACATCTCAATCATGAATAAAAAAAAAAGTTCTGTTTGTTTAAAGTAATAATTGCATTTCCATAATTTTATCAAACTAATTAGTTTTTAATGGCTGCCTGCCGTGGCAACAAACAACAAACTCCGTTTCGTTGACAATCAGCCATGTCTTTCGTCTTCTGTGTTGTTAGTGCAGACAACCAGTGAAAATAAAGTGAGTTTTTAAAATCAATGAATATCTACTTTAATATAATTATGGAAATGCAAGCATTCACTTGATCTTACGAGAGTGCTACCCACACGTGTCCATCAACCTCTAAAATGGACCCCAATGGCCCGGCCCCCACTCCGGGGCCGGAATGACCGCATGTGTGTTACCAAAATTTCCGGTAAAGGGGTACTTTTCACGCAAAAATCCGGCCCGTATTGACTTTACACACCGGACTTGGGGGGTGTTTTCAAAGGAGGGAACACGCATTATGCGTACCGTAAATAGCATTGAGTGGGGGGGGGGGGGGGGGGGCTAATGGATGGCGTATCGCACCTTTTCTGAGATGGACCCTAATGGCGTCGCATCGCACCTTTTCTGAAATGACCCTTATATCCACCTTTATCCATCTTTTATCTCACCACCTGGTCGACAGTTGCAGATTATCGCATAATTTTTCGGCGGCTTGGAGCATGGGGTCAAAGGAAAGCGGCTTGATTCCACTCTTCATATGATAATTGCCCTTTTTAATTTGACACGAGCACTTTTTCTTTTCTAATAATTGTCCTTTTACCTTTTCATAAGTGTCTATTTTTCCTTTCTCCATAACATGACTTAGAGCCCCTTTTTCTATAATTTTCCCTGGAATTCACTCGCTAGGCCTGTTCGCTTTAATAGATGTTATAATTATGTTTCTTATAACAGAACTTTAGTAGTGAGGAATAACTTTTTTGTTTGGCCCCTCGAAAATTTGAAAAATCGCACCCCCCCCCCCCTTGAGCGCCAGGGGAGGGGGCCCATCTCCAAAAAGGGTAAAATTATTGTTTTTACACGTTTTTTCCCCGGGCCCCCTGGATCCGCCACTGGTAATCACAATCATGACGATTTAGGGGTATATACCAATGTTTTTTTAATGTTTCCCTGTGTAGGTGCCCCTTTTTAAGTTGGTGCCCCCTATATTTTGGAAGACGCACCGCCGCCCCTGCATTATGCTACTTGGTGGTGATGCGGATTTTGTTCTGAACCATCAAAAGTTTTTGCTCACTACGCCACTGCCTATTGGCGCATGTATAAAGAAAACATTGAAACCTGTGAGCCTGATATACCCTTCAGTTTTTGGTTTTTGTGCAATCAGTGTTTGAAAAACACCCCCTTTTTAAAGAAAACGTCGACGACTCCGTATAATAAAAATCACCTTTTGGCGACGCTTGTTCTCGGGGAGCGGGTGCGTATAGCCAGTCATGTACGCGTTGCCGGAATGACCCGCGCCCCCGGGGTTAGGCCAACCAATTCATTATAGGCTTTTAATATTTATTGTTTACATATTGTTACTTTTAATATTCTATGAGCACTGATATACAACGCATTTAATAAACAAAAACAAAAGCAAACAAACAAAATTCAAAAGGATCACGTTCGGCCTACTTTGAATAAATTGTCCTTTTTATTGTCTTTTGTCACAATCCTAAAGTTACCCCTCAGTTTTATTAACTGAACGATTAATTCCTGCATTTTTTGGTATAAAGAAGTCCCTCTCACTGCAAACAAGATCAATCAGTACAGTTGGTGAATATTTAAGCAGGATTGCCTAATCATTAAAAAAAGAAAGGAAAAGAAGGGCCAGGCCTGATCCCCTGCATGCTTGCATGACTTATAAAAATACATAATCACTTCAGACTTGACAAAATGAAAAGAAGACGGCCTATATTTTATTGAACATAATATACTTAAAAGTGCATGGATTATATGAATATATATTTGTGAACTGTTACTGAATAATCATAAGAACATCCAATATTATCAAATCCATTATATTGTCCAACTGTATTATGTAACTGGATGCTTAGGCCCTCGATCTAGCCGGCCGCCGTCGTTCAGATGATATTAAATAGGAATTTAAAGGTATATAGATTGAGGGAGAGTGAAGAAAGAGGGAGTCTCAGACTAGGAGAGGCCTTAGAAGAAGGCAATAAAGGAAGGAAAAGAGAGAGAGACTACTGAGATAGAGAGAGAGAGAGAGAGAGAGAGAGAGAGAGAGAGAGAGAGAGAGAGAGAGAGAGAGAGAGGGGGGGGGGGGGGGGGGGGGAGGAGGGAGGGAGGGATAATTATTAATCAATATTAAACCACTTCCCTTTTCGTGGCTTCCATCAAGGCCATTAGCCCAATACCATTTCTCTTACTATAGCGGCTGAAACTAAAATGAATTTAAGAGTGATAAAAATACCTAATTAGGACCTATAAATAATGTTCACATGTTCATATTGATATAGACTCTAGTGTACATAATGCAAATGCATTTATAACTTTGTGTTTCGGAAGTGACGTCATAATTGTTGTTTTGGCATACGAGGAAGGAATTCAGGGATCGGAAGAGGCTCTCTAAACAAGGTAATTTGTTTTGCGATTTAAACATTCTTCTGTTGTCTATATGTTTTCAGTTTTGAAACTTAAGTAGTAAGCATCGATTGTAATGCCTGGAGTAGCTCATTTTATAATTATTGCTGATGAATTTGATGTTTTTGTGTGCTTTTTTTTAAATGGTGAGTGAGTGAGCGTGGGAAAGTATTGTCGTGGACACGGGCGTGTTGCTTCAATGCGAAGGCACCGCAGCGGGCCAAGCGTGCAGCCTGCCAGGCACCTGCACGCAGCTCAGATACAGGGTCCGCTTGCAGCTCGCTTCATCAAGTTCATGTTGGGCGGCGCGGTCTCTGTATAACTCTTAAAGTAGACCTACACATAATACGCAGGCCTTTAATAGCCCTGTAATACAGCTAAATTGATTTAGACAATGTCATTAATGTAGTGGATCTAGACCAATTATTAAGAAAGATATGAGTGTTTGAAAAAATGAGATCACCAAACTAAGCTACCGCGTGCAAATCTCAAATCGGCAAATTGGTTACAACAGGATTGAGATGTACATGTACTAGCTATGTAGTCGACTCTAGGTCTAGATGTGGAAAAAATTCTCTCCCATTTCTCGTGTACAAAAATACCATATATTTCTATTTTTTCCTTGGCGCCTTCTTCCTCGGAGCACTACTCAAAATATGTTGCTGGTACAAACCTGGTAGCATATAATTAAAGGTTCTCTAAAAAGAATAGACGCCCCCGAGTCATAGTCTGGGGGAAAAATTACACTTTAGTCATTTTGTGTGTGGGAACAAATTGGATTACAATTGATGAATCAATTATACATTTGTTTTATTGTCAAAAGTCAAAGAAGAATACAAAATAAGAAAAGAAGAAGAAGGAGGAGGAGGAGGAGGGAGAAAGGAAAACAAAAAGAGGAGTAGATGAATGAGGGGGAGATGAACAAAGAAAGAGGAGAATTTGGAGGAGAAGAAGACATTAAGAAAAGGAAGAAAATTTAAACTTTAAATATAAGAATGAAAAAAATGCAAAAGCTGAACAGAAAGTACTCAATTATATTTGCAGCTAATGCCAGCTACAATGTAAAGTTGTACACTACAATGACTGACATGTAGATTGTAATTTAAATAAAGCCTTTTGAATCATCTATAACGCAAAAGTTGTAACTCAAAGGCTGTAAACCTTTTTTTTTTTTTTTTCATGAAGAATTCATGACTATTGGGTTACAACTGTGAAATTTCAATTTTGAATCACATTACTGTATGTGAATTAATTAATGATAAATACTAATGTATGGCCTTGATTTAGCCCCCCCCCCCCCAAAAAAAAAATTATAACCTGGGGTTCATAGCATTATTTTAATAATATCAATTGAATTGGTGTCATACAAATTGCTCCAAAATCAAATGGCTTTAACCGTTTTTTTTTACATCATTTATATTATACAAATATACACTGCCTTGAGAGGTTCTGGTTAAAACTATGCGCAAGATGTGACTCCAATAGTACGATTTGCTGAGGGGCGCAGCCCCGAAGCAATGTTTCTCATTGTGTGTAAACTAGTCTACAGTGAAACAATGCATAATATGAATGTACATCATGTATGTGCTATATTGTGCTTTTATCTGTGCAGGTAAAACTTGTATTAGAAGGCAGTGTATCAATGGTTGGTGTTTGGGTTAAAAGGAAAAGTGGCAGAACAGCGACCCATTTCACAAAGCCTTTTTTCAATGACAAATGACAAAAACCAATGACAAACCTGCAGATAACCAATCAGAAGTAAGGATTGCAGAAGCTTATAACAAAGACTGTCATTTGTCACTGATGACAGGTTTTGTGGGTCCCTGCTGTGTGTGTTCTTCAGGCCTCCTTCCCTGTGAAGATTCTAAGGCATGGATCAAAGAGAGCTAGATGTAGATGCTTCTCTTCCTTTGACTTTAGCCTAGGTGGAGAATGTGTGATGTGTTTGTAAAAAGATTTGTGTGGTATTACCATGAGATGGTTGTACAGGATGTTGAATTATTACAGAAGATGATTCATGCAGTAATAAGCCGATGACATCTGATTATTTCTTTAAAGACGTTCACTCACAAAAGCATGTACATGTACAGTGCCTGTATTTGCATGCACATGTACACTGTACAGTGTGTATGCATATAGTTGCTGCTTGCATACAACTTTTCTAACAACTATTTTTACAACATGTACCCTCTGATTGCCATACAGTACTTCTCCTTCTGGTATAGACTCTCTAATTTCAATACAGCATGTACATGTACATGTAAATCAGTGTAGCATAAATTAATTTCATGAACGCAATGACATTTCCCAAACTTTGGACAGAATTGTTATGAATAATATGAAGTCTTCTTTCAAATGGCATCACAAGTCATGTACTGTACAAACCGTCAAAACATGAAATATCAGTGCTCTGTAGAAATTTGTTAATTTTTGCTGGATAATGGTGCACTCTTCATGTAATTTATCTGTTTCCACTTTGCAGGTTACCGGGTTAGAAGTTCTTCAGTTTCTTCTCAGTTTGCCTGACCTTTCAACTCATCCAAGATGGCATCCGAAGGGGAAACGAACAACATTGGAATTAACTCCGACCTGGTCACCCTCAGACGATACCTCTCTATGGGCCAAACGAGTGGAACATACTACGTTGTTAACAAAGAACCCAAAGAGAATCCCCTTCCAGAATGCACTCAAACGATCCTCGAGGAAGGGCGTGGAGGGGACATTGTCAAAGAACTTGTAAGGTTTTCTAAGGCCGGGCACGTGCTCCATGAGGAATCCTACATGAAAGTATTGGTATGCGTTGCAAGGAGCAAGGACACGAGTGCCAAGAAGGCCGTCTATAATGAGCTGGGTCAGCTGTGCTCGACGGCGTCTGGACTCTTCCGGTTTGTGGACGGGGTGGAGAAAGGGGGAGAGGGGACAGGCTGGGGACGTATGCAGAGGAAGGCAATATGCAATTGGTATTGTAGTAAAGATGGTCAGGAGTTAGCCAGACTGGTGACAGGGTGCAAGCAACGGGGTGGATGGTCGCATCGAGATCTCATACGACTTGCTCATGTCAAACCACCCGCAGAAGGTGAGTTACAAACTATTAATATTTTGTTACGATATTTTGTTGTTCACTATTGTACTCTTACTTTTATGATATTTAAAGAAAAATATACCAAACATTGGACTTCTACTGACAGTTTATTTCTTCTTGTGAATATTCTTAGGCAGTCATTTGATTTTTGTTTGTAAATTAATCATTTATATTTTTATTTCCAGTCTTACATCTATGTTGATTGCCTAAGTTTTTTTAATAATTTGATATCAGATGCATGTTTTGAATCAAGATACGTTATGAACATGTCCCAAAATTACATTTGTAAAAGGACTTACCGGTAATCTTCCTGGTTGCTTCATGATATCTCTTTATAGAATACATGTACATGTACATTTTTTGTACATATATTTGATAATATGCAAGAATAGACTTTCAGTTTCATGCTGTCTCAAGTTTTGGGCCTATTTGGGGCAAAGTTGCAATGGGCCTTGTGCCTTGTAGTAGTTTGCATCACTAATACCGAAAGCGGTACTTTTTATGCCCGATTGGGCAATTCCATTCTTATGCTCATCTACATAGTACACACTAGGTTGTCTTGTGCGAATGCACATAATGTATTCTCTTCCACATGACACATGTTTTTCATGTTTCATGTTTGTGTCAACATGTCAGTTGTCACACAAATAGCAGCCCAAAATATCTTATCAATATTAAATAATCAATTAAACCACATGTAGGGTGTACATGTACATGTATGTACCATTGTTTAAAGAATCAAGCCTGCTACAGAAAATTGATTGGTTACATTTTCCTCATGTTTTGTACATTCAATGTAGGCTTGTTCGAATGAAAATGAAAATTATGTTATAATTTTTAAGGATCAATAGGCCATTTTCGTAAGGTAACCAAATTTAATGCATACATGTAGGTCTTTGTGAGGTGTCTCAATACAAATTATTTCATTCACCTGATAAAAATAATAGTATTTCAATAGTCAGCATGCAAACTGCATATAGTGCTGCTAGGTAGGTCAAGCCATTATGTTTGTCCTACCTGGCAACAACTAATGTATGCAGTTCAAATTCTGTATGAAATGTATGAGATGGATGTAACCCAGGTACACATTGACAGACAATAAGAAACTAGAAATGTCATTTTCCCAAATGGTGACACCTTTATCCCCTCCTCTCAACCACAGCATGCTTCACATACCAGCATGTCTTAGTGATGAAGGGAGGGAATCTTTATTCTGGAGTGCGACCATTTCACTCAGACTCTCTTCCAAATAGACATTGGGAATTGTGTGCAATATTTCTTGAAGCAGCGTTTACATGTGAGATAGGGGAGAAGGCTGGGGAGGGGGAGGAAGGGAGGGGTATGGAGGGAGGGAGGGAGGGGCAGGATACTTGATAGTGTAGAAAACTAAAAATACCAGTAACAATTTTTCTGGGGCTTTCATGTTCAGCCAGCCAGAAAGCAAGTGTTCTCACTGTTCTTTATTATATATTTTTGTTTTGTTTTTTGTTTTGTTGCAGTAACAGCACTTCAATATTTTTTAAAAATAATATTAGTTTACACAAGATTTTCCCTTAGCCCCTAACTTAATGTTATTTTTTTCCCCTTCAAGTTCTTTACCTAATGCAAGTAATGTTCCATGCCTTGCTACATGCAACATTCATGATGACACATAATATACCAGCATGGGGTCATGTACAGTGAGGCCTCCATAATGGCCAGTACTTTGTTTTAAAATTTGAGACAAACTCGCCTTGAATATATCTGGTTCATACCAATATGTGTCCATGTGCCTATGTACAACTGTATTGTATGGACATCTTTCAATATATCTGCATTAATCTGAAAATGGTGTTCAGTTGATACGTTTTTATGATGTATAAATTCTTCTCTTTTATCATTCAGACTTTTAAGAAAGGCACCAAAAGTACCCAAATTTGATGTAGTGGTCTAATATGGTTTTACACAAATTTTACAATTCATGAATTGTTTGACCAGAAACTGTATTATTATTATTATAGAACAAAATAATGAAATGACCCCATACACATACACAGGCGCGTACGCAGGGGGGGGGGGGGGGGGGGTTTGGGGGATAAACCCCCCCTTTGGAAATTTGTTGTGTGTAAACCCCCTAAAAAAAACCTAAAACCCCCCCCCCCCCCTTTTGGATTTTTTTTTTTTTTTTTTTTTTTTTTTTTATTAAAAAAAAAAAAAAAAAAAAAAAATTATTCCCATGGCCGACCTAAAAAAGGTGACTTTACCCCCCCCCCCCAACGGAGCAAAATGTCAAATTTCCAAATTTCGAGACCAAAAAAAAAAAAAAAAGTGTCCTCTTACCCCCCCCCCCCCCCCCCCCCCCCCCCCCCCCCCCCCCCCCCCGCTTATTCAGCGGTCGGCTGAGTCGTTGCGATTTTTTTGGGACCAAAAAAAAAAAAAAATGTGTCCTCTTACCCCCCCCCCCCCCCCCCCCCCCCCCCCCCCCCCCCCCCCCCCCCCCCCCTCCCCCCCGCTTATTCAGCGGCTGGCTGAGTCGTTGCGAAATTTTCGGACCGATTTATAAATGTTAAAACCCCCCCTTGAAAAAATCCTGCGTACGCGCCTGCACATACATGTATATTGTGTGCATTGATGAATTAAATAAATTATTTTATTGGAGTACAGATACATGTACACTGTACATGTACAGTACATAGACAAGAATATTAGAGTAAAGATACAGAAATTTTGTTTTCCACTGGTGTTACCTACATGGAATACATATTAATTATGCAAAGATGGTATGGTATTCTTTGCTAAAAGCCAGAAGGGCATTAACAGATCATAAAATATGAATCAATATGTATCAGAAAATCAAATTAAAGATAAACTCCAGTACTGGTAAAAAAAAAAAATTAATTCTCACAGAATCAAACAAAACTTACACTGAATGTTCAAAATTACAAATAAATGACATGTGCCAAACAATTTTGGAAGAAAATGTATATTGGCTGAGTAATGAGCATAGAAAGACAAGGAAATCAAGGTAGTACTAGCCCTGACACCATGTGTGTTGTCCCATATATAGCTTTCTATGTGAGTGCTTGTTACTTAACCAAGACTCGGTCAAATTTATTATGATTTTGATGACTCCAGAACCTTGCAGTGCACACCAATACTTACATGCTACATGATCAACTGTTTCTGATCCTTTCACACCTTTTCTTTCACAATGCAATCGCATTACCAGCACTAAAGTTTATCTTTAAGCACTGATTTGATTTTGTTTCCCCTTCTTTGATTTGTCACTAGGTTCAGGCACAGCTATTGTGTTGAAGTACATCATGCGTGGGTTGAAGAACGTCTTGGAGTCCCACCCCAGCGAGGGGGCGGACGACAGCACCCGGGCCTTGACGGAGTTCCTCAGGGATGTAGATGGTCTCCGTAAGGAGGAGGACTTGGAGAGAGTCGCAGGCCTGGTAGAGAAACACAAACTCTCGCCAGAACATCTTCCTACCAAGAGCCTCAAATCAAAAGATGTAAGTGGGAAACTAGCAGATCATCTTTAAAATATTTAACTGTACCGGTACTGACTAAAAAAAAATATTTCCTCCAATTGTCGATTTGTCTCTCTCTCTTTCTTTCTCTCCTTACTTCTTTTTCTTAGTCTCCTCACCTGTTTCTTACTTCTTACTTCATTCTTTCCACTATCATCTTGATTCCCTCTTCTCAAACTCTCCCTTTCTCCTACATTCCTTCTACATGTACAGTGTACATGTACTCTCTTTTTTTTGCTCTATCTCTCAGTGCAATAAATGTGAACCTAATTTGACCCTGTTTTAAAGGAAACCAAAACCTTCATACTAAGTTACTTATATTGTAAAGTTTAAGATATTTGAAAAATATCAGTGAAAATTTGAACAAAATCGGGCAAGGAATAAGGAAGTAAGAGCTTTTTTAAATTACTAGTCACTAGAGGGCGGTATTCAATTTGATGACATCATCTGTGGACAACCCTCCATGCCTTTTGTACATAAAATTTTATGTTTTTCCTTCTTTCTTGTGATTGAGATAATGTACTCCCCTGAAAGCAAGATATAGAATGCAAAATGATATTCTACTTCACATGTTATGAAGTCGGATCAAGAACACAAATAAATACGAAGAAAACAAAAAAATTGTGAAATTATATGTACAAAAGGCATGGAGAGTTGTTCACAGATGATGTCATCAAATTGAATACTGCCCTCTAGTGACTAGTAATTTAAAAAAGCTCTTACTTCCTTATTCCTTGCCCGATTTTGTTCAAATTTTCACTGATATTTTTCAAATATCTTAAACTTTACAATAAAAGTAACTTTAATAGTATGAAGGTAATTACTTTGATTGCTGTATTGTTTTGATATTGAATATGTTCACATTGTGTACAATAGGCTAGTGTACAACTGTGTATCTTGCACTGTTGCATACAGTACTTGCATATTCTTCCTATAATCATCAAAACAATTGTATTATGGTCCATTGTAGTTTGAAATTGCTATGTTGAGAGTGTTCAGGATGGCAAGAAATATAGAACATTCAGAAATACAACTGAAGTTGAACAGCCATAATGTAGAATGCTCAATGGATAAAACATGTACATCTATATGTACATGTTGCCATGGTGGTATTAGAAAATGAAAATTATTTAGACTGAAAAAATGATAGAAATGTAGAATATCCTAGTCTGTCTAAAGGTTGGATCCTGAAGTAATTGCTTTGTTTATGTTCATGGCTATGCACCTGTTGTGCCTTTTCAAAAACTCTGTAATACCAGGGGGGTATTTTACAAAGATCCTTAAAGTCAAACTTAACTCTAAGTTGGACTTAAAAATTATGGAGAGCCATTTGTAGCCTTAAAATGAAATATATTCAAAATCGAAAATTCAAGTATTTTAGATTTTTTATAAATTCTACATCAAGAACATGAAATCTCCTTGATAATAGAAAATATGAATGATCTGAATCAACATTTTATGTCTTTTAAAAAACTTTTACAAAATATTTTCATAAATGCGAATGGCTTTCCATAACTGTTAAGTCCAAATTAGAGATAAGTTCCAACTTTGGATCTTTGTGAAACACCCCCATATGTTGTAACATATATTGTTTACAATACATATAATCTACACAGGTATGGAAAGCCCTAGTCCCTCACTTGTCGGTCCAGTCCCTACTGGATAACATCGTGAGACTAGCCTCAATGGGTCTATTCAAACCTAAGAGTCCCGAGGTCGACGTGATATGCAGGCGATTGCAGACTCCCAGCGCTCTGTCAGAATCGCACGTTCATCCGTTCAGTGTGCTGATGGCGCAACGTATCTACCGCTCCAAGAAGGTGGAGAAGACCAAGGCCCACTGGGAGATCAACAAGGAACTAATGAAAGCCCTGACAGAAGCTTACCATAAAGCCTTTGAGGTGAGTTGAGTTTGAGTTTGAGTTTGAGTTTGAGTTTGAGTTTTGAGTTTGAGTTCATTGGTTTCACATTTCAGATCTAGATATAATACAGATAGATAACAAAATAAACATAAAAGACATACGGTATTGTTTCATGATTTAAAAAAATGATTATAGTAATTGACAAATTAATCAGACTACAAAGTTACATATCATCAAATTTGTTTGACAACTAATATCATTTAAAGGAAAAGAAAAGTATAAACTGTGATGATTGTTTAGAGAGAAATGGAAGGTCTAATGGTCACTTCTTTAGTCTTCCTTTAAACCTATCCGAGTTTGAACCACGTTCTGTCTTTGGGATAGTAACATACCATGGACTTAAAGTTTCTAAATTTTGATTCTTTGTTTATATTTCCTTTGTGGGAACTGAAGATGCATCATCTGTATTTCTGTTTCAGGAAGAAATTGCTATCATTTGTCCAAACATATATGGTACAATATTTGATTTCTTTGGCAAGATTTGCCACCCAAGGCAGGAAAGGGTTCGATTCCTATTTTGTTCTGATGGTTTAGCTGCACAATGAAAACATGGACAAAAAAGGTTTTAGTGTGACCCTTGTTACCTTACCCTTCATTCATCCAATTTGTTTTCTTCACTCTTTCTCTTTCAAGGCTTTTAAAGAAAATGTTGATTTTTCTCTGAGATGTCTTTTTAAAGGTCTATAGAGTACTGAAGCTCTGACATCATAAAAATCTATTTATGGAATTTCTCAATTTTTTCTTCATTTTCCGAAAGAGCATGAAAAATAATGTCCAAATGTCGAAAACCAATTGAATTGTATTGGCTGAGATATGACCATCTGAATAAATAGATATCCTTATAGGAACTCAGTGGTATATCGCTCTGGCTCGTAATGTTATGGACCAGAGCAATATAACACTGAGTTCCCATAGGAAATCTGTTTATTCAGATGGTCAGTTCCGAAGTTAGGACATTATTTTTGATGCTCTTTCGGAAAATGAAGACAAAATTGAGAAATTCCAAAAATAGATTTTAGATGATGTCACACTTCACCACTCTATTATGCCTTCCTAATCTAAATCACTCTCTACTCCGTGCATTCTTTTTTCCTGCTGTCCTTAGGTCTCGGAAAAAACAGGCAAGCGTTATCTTCTGGCCGTAGACGTCAGTTCATCGATGGCCCTGAGCGGTGTGAACGGCACCAGGAACATCGCCGCTAGAGAGGCTGCCGCCACCATAGCCATGATGATCGCTAAGAAAGAAGAAGATAGTCGTGTCATGGGCTTCACTTCAGAACTCAAGGAGATCCCCATCACTGCTAACATGAAGCTAGAAGATGCCGTCAAGAAGATGGGAGAGGTTTGTATATTTCATTTATTTCATTTATTTTTCATTTATTTACAGTTAAAGATACTATCTCCCTTTTGCAGCCAACATCAAATTCTGTTGAACTTTGCAGGATTTATGAATATGTCATATATGTCCTATCTGTGAAATTTAAACGTTAGCAGTGTCCTAATATTCAAATTATGCAAGGAAACCTGTTTACCTTCTAGACTTCACTGTCAGACACTATTGAGTGACTGACTGGCTTTTTTTCTTCTTTTAATAACATACATAAAATGAGCTGTAAAGGGTCATGATCATTTGTCTACATCAATAACCCACTTCTTGTATATGGCCAAAATTAAACTGATTGAATATTTGCGCAGCATAAAATATACGACCATTCGGTACAATGGTCTGAAAATCAGACTATTACTTACTGGCTCTATAGCTCTGAAGTCGATTCGACAACTAATAGTCATTCTTTTCCCACTTAAAGACATTTTCAAGCCCCCCCCCCCTTTTTTTTAGGGAAGTTCTAAATTAGTATTATCTTTCAAATGCCGATGGAATTTAACCTTTTCATTTTTTTGGCCTGCAAATGGGACATAGTACCTTTAACAATTTAATCATTCATAACCTCACCAAGTATGTGAAAAAGATGATTTGCCCCAATTTATGTATTTTGAGAATGTGGCATATATCAAATCTTACATCTAATAGTATTAAAAAAAGGCCCTGATTCAACCAGTCCAGCTTTCACTCTTGAGTTACAAAGAGCACAAAAAGCATGAAATTTACAAGGAGTATGAATAATTCTGTTGTTAGGCTAAGAACTAAATTATTCATACCCTTACCAAAGCTTGTAATTTTTTAAGTACCGGTATGTGAAAAATTGATTCCAGAAATTCAACCTATGATTCTTGAGTTATAAAAAAACCCCAAAAAAACTGTCCAATTAACAAGGGGTATTAATAATTCAGTCGTTAAATGTAGCTTTAACTTTTTTATTTTCTAAAATTTCCATCAATTTGATACAGCTTTCGATGGGTCAAACAGACTTTGCTCAACCGATGCTCTGGGCAGTTAAGAACAAGATCGCTGTGGATCAGTTCATCATGTGCACAGACTGCGAGACCTTCAACGGCGATGTCTCGGCGGCCGACGCCCTCGCTCAGTACCGCCAGGCCATGAAGATCGATGCCAAGGTTGCCATCGTTGCCATGACGTCCAACAGCTTCTCCATGGCAAACGCAGATGACCAAAGCATGCTGGATATAGCAGGCTTCAATGGCCATGCGGCCAAACTCTTACAAAGCATGGCGCTGAATTTTCAGTGATGCATGTTATATAGTTCAAAGAGTGCAACAATATTTATTATTATTATCATTATGTCTTGATGCTTTGATGTATGTCATTCTATTGCGATGGTGGCACACAAAAGATATCTTCCTGTGGTGCTACTGGCAGGAGACCACACGTTACCTGGGGGGCGTTTCACAAAACTTGTCATCAGTGAAAAATGACAGTTTTTGTTATAAGCTACTGAAATCCTTGCATCTGATTGGTTATCAGCAGATTTGTCGCTGATTTTTGTCATTTGTCATTGAAAAAAGGCTTTGTGAAACGGGTCCCAGATCTACTCCATTTGGGTTCACATTTATTGCTATGCCAATCTAATACAAAGAGTACCGGTAACAATGTTAAAATCAGTCTATCCAAGTTTGTCATTTTTTTGCAATGAAATGAAGCAAGTTTACATAAATGTACTGTGCAGTCAATTACTCTTGAATCTATTTTATACAGAATATCACTGTATTAAGAGATGAATTTTCACATGAACTTATCCCATTTTTTTCTCTTTTTTTTTTCTGTGTTTATTTCAAAATTGGAATAATGAATTGCTTATTGCCACTGAATTGAGTTGTTGAAATGTACTACCGGTAATCTACATTTCCTTGATCCATGCTTAAGCTCCTCATTATATTGTGGACAATCTCTTACCTGAGAAGCTACAATTAAATTTGAAATCAGTATTATAAGATGAAATCTATTTTTAGATGTGATGAGATCATATGAATAGAAATTCCTGAACCATATTAGTTTCATACTTGTAATTCAACAACAAACACAAGTGTGGAGAAAAGATAGGTTACTCTCACTCGACTATCATGGTGATGGTTTAGATGCTATCATTTCTCTTGGATGCCAAAGTACTTCTTTCTTTTTATTGCAACCTGCTGCAAAGTGGGGAATCTTTTGTCTTCTTATTGACTTATACGCTTCAGTTTCCTGAAACGAATTGATTTGTTACATCTGTGGCCAAAATTCTCAACGACAAAAAAGACACACAAACAAGGGATTTCAACAAACCGTTTTTTATGTTACTCATAATTTATTAGTATATTACCTTGATCCTTTGGTGTTTTTATTGGGAGGAGGGGGAAGGGGGTTGACAAAATTATGCAGTCTCAATTCAAGACCCTAGTTGATTTTAACATTGAATGAATTTTTCTCGATTTCAATGTTTCCCAATTTAACACCCTCACAATGTACATGTATGATGCAAGAACCATAACAGTAATATTGAAGATGGTAAATAGTATAGTATTATATTATTGCTATCATTATGATGATGATTATTATATTTTTTTAAATTATACATGTATTCTACAAATGCAAGTAGAACTGTTTTGGTATAATATGGAAGGTCTCATGAAATCAACTTGAATAATTTTGCAGAGAGGCATTATAAATAAGACATTCGACCCTCATTCCCAACTTTTAAGATACACATCCCGGATACTGACCTAACATGCTTTTTTTGTGTGCCAATGAATAGAGAGTTGTGGTTGTGGTCGATTCTACCGGTAAGCCGAAAAGTATATTGTGCCTTGTTTTGGTCAAGAAGATTTGTCAAAATATAATTCCATTTTTTTAATTTGGCTGTGCCAAGGAAGTGGATTGCTGTTTTTGAAAGTTATCTAATTTACTGTTGCATACACAGTTTTGAATAATTGACCAAAACATTTGAATTTCGTGGTCCTATTTAAAAAATTTGGATTGACGTAAAATAAAATAATGCAATTAGATTGGGCATTTTTTTTCAACTTTGAAAAACCTTTATGTAAATGATTTTTTATTAAATGATGCAGTACTTTTAATGTGTTTACTGCAAATGATAATTTTTAAAATTGCAGTAGCCTGTGTATAGTTGTTTGATATACTTGTAGATATTGTGTTTTTATTGCGGCATTATGTTTGCATGATTGATAATCAAGTTTCTAAATCTTAACCTTATAAATGAAGTAAAGTACATGTACGTTTGTAATTCAAGTAAATTATGCATGCAGGAATAGCCTGATGTCAGGTAAAGTTGATAAGTTAATCTACCAGTAATTTAACTTCTCTATAGAGGGAGTGTATGAGATATCGGTAATCCTACATTTTAAAACGCTTTTAAAAAGATATGCTGCAAGTTTGATGAAGAGTTTGTTATTTGTGTAGTACACAACTCACCTACATGTAGCAGAGACATATATTCACCAAGCATAAATCTTGTATTTAAAGATAAAGTTAAGTACTGGTCATGTGATTGCATTGTGAAAAAAAAGGTGTGGAATGGATCAGAAAAATTTGATCATGTAGCATGTAAGTATTGGTGTGTACTGCAAGGTTCTGGAGTCATCAAAATCATAATAAATTTGGCCCAGCCTTGGTAAAGGAACAAGCACTTTACACTGAAAGATGTGGGTCTACACAAATGTTGTCGGGCCTACTTACCTTGATTTCCTTATCTTTTTATGCTCATTACTCAGCCAGTATACATTTTCTACCAAAATGGTTTGGCAAATGACAATTTGTAATCTTGAACATTCGGTGTCAGTTTCGTTTGATTCCGTGAGAGTTCATTTTCTTTTTTTTACCGGGGGGGGGGGGGGGGGATGTTTCACAAAGATCCTAAGTTGAACTTATCTCTAAGTTGGACTTAACATTTATGGAAAGCCGTTAGCATCGATGAAAATATTTTGTAAAAGTTATTGTAAAAGTTATTTTAAAAGGCATAAAATTTTGATTCAACTCATTTGTATTTTCTATAATATCAAGGAGATAGCATGTTCTTGATGTGGAATGTATAAAGTCTAAAATACTTGACTTTTTGCTTTTGAACATATTTTATATTAAGGTTACAAATGGCTCTCCATAATTTTTAAGTCCAACTTAAATTTAAGTTCGACTTAAAATCTTTGTGAAACACCCCCCAGATCTCACGTATGCTATGACCATGCAATCTGCAAGACTCAATATTTTGAGGAGATCAATCACTTTAATTCTGGAGGGATTCAATCCATCCTACGTTTCTAATGTACAATTTGTAAGAGGATAATGTATCTTGATATTGCATTATCATTAAATATATATGCAAATATAAGTTCTAAATTTAAGGGGGGAATTGGTTGAGTTTTTTGCAGGCAAAATGAACTTATTGAAATGTGTAAGGTCTTTGCCAATTTGTGATTCATTTTCAATTCAGAATTTCATTAATTGGAAGTGAAACATCTGTTTTTTTTTCTTCTCAACTGATTTATTTGTATGCATTGAAATATAGTTACATGTACATTGTCAAAAGAAAATAGACATTGCACTGCATGTAGGACATTCTTAAAATGTTGGCTGAAAATGTCATATCTGAAGATTCTTCTTGCCAGTCTATAGTTATTAAATATTGTTTTACAGAGAAGCTATGGATTTAATAACAAATGCCAATTCATATACAGTCAAACCTGCTTTAGTGACCACCCATCTACAAAGACCACATTTTTGTTCCCTTGAAAATGTTTCCTCATTGAAACATGTACTAAAGATACCTGTACATAAAGACCGCCTGCCTATAAAATATAACATTGGTATATGATGGACGTGAGGCTCTGAATATTCAGAATGATAAATTGTCCCAACCTCGTTTACAAGCACATGCACACAGAAATAGGTATATGGGACTACATACACATGCAGATTTAGTGTCTGGCCCAAACCCTTTAGCTATTTATCTGTTTGAACTGTCCTTTAATCGATTTATGAAAATGATTGAACTGCACTATTCTCATCATATTTTGAAAATTAGGGCATTTGGAGAGCAATGCTTTTCAGAAGACATTTCTACCGCAATATGCTTCTAAACCGAGAGAAAAAGAATGGGAGAGTTTACAAATTATGTTTCAACTTTACAAGAACTCAACTTTTCCTTCAAGGAATGGCTAGGCATCGAGGTCATCCAAGTTTGCATATGATGGGTGGACTGTCATGTGATATATCTGATATTGGTTCATTTATCACTACTAAGCCAATATATTTAAAGTGTGTTTTATTGGGTTATAGATTGAAGTTCTAGCAAGTGCTTCACTGCTACACAGTGCCTAAAGAAAATGAAGAGACAAGTTGAACATGATGAAAAGTGTGTGGAATATTAGCTATCATGTCATAGCAAGACTTACAAAGTTAGCTTTAGTATTTGTCAACAGTATACAGATAACAAAATCTGACATATAAATGTGAATGTTACTTTATTGTTCAAGGAAACAATACTAGATAAGAGATTAAACCCTTGTTGTGAAAACTGCACTTTAGTTTAGATATTCATTTGTGACAGATGTAGATACGTTTGTGTGAGAGAGAGGATGGGGGAGGTAAGAAAGGGAGAGAGTACTTGAAACATACAATAAAAATACTGGTATGATTTTTTCTCTTCAGGTTTATTCATATATTTATACACTTTTTCCCACCAGATAATATACAACGCTACACTGCATAGAGATATATCCATATGAAATTCTAATCAAATCCCCATCTTTGAATAATACAGAAATTGTGAAGATAAAAAAATGAACCCCTCGTTTATTCTCAGTCACATTGTAAGCCTGTTGACAGACTACAAGATTGACAAAGCCCATGTATAATTCAACTATGCAAGGGAGTGAAGGGACATATTCTAGATTTAGAAGAAAAAATTAAGGGATGTGGCATGAATTTTTTTTTACATGCATGCGTGTATATAGGAGTTGGCCCAGGAAATTTCTGTTACAACTCTAGACTATAAACTGTATATAAAAAAAAATCATCACATCTAAACACAAACGAACATAGGTGTATATCACAAGCGAATGAAAACTGAATGGCTAAATTCAGATGAAGATGAACTACACGTATACACTTCTTCTGGATCAAACTTTCTCATGCAAATTGAGACTGAACACGAGAATCTTTGGTTTTTAATTACATATCATGCTTCATGCAACTTAATGTTTTAATAGTAAACAAAGAAAAATATTCCAGCATGAAAGAAACGTGTCAGACAACAAAAATTTCAAAGATAACATCTCATTCAAGACCAAATTCTTCTTGAAATTCAGGCAAACAATGGGCCCAATTTTAGTTGCTTCAACAAATGTCCTTTCAGATCAGGAATTTTTTAAGTATAAATAAATACTACATTCTTCAAATTGGCAACACGGTGGCAAATTTGAAATCAGTTTAAAAACAAAAATCAGAATGCTTGCCTAGTGATATCATTTCCATTCAGCTGTTTTCATTTCTCTTATATGTATGAAATGATATGAACGGGTATTAAAAAATGTCAGTGACGCATGCTTGATGAAAATACTGATTTCATTAGAAATCAAACACTTTGAAATGGCCCTCATCATCTCTGCATCATAAAAATCACACAAAAATACAGTGACACAAACATCGGAAAAGAAACAAATATTAAAATTAAAACAATAAGAAAATATAAAGAGCAAATAATGTTAAAAAGGCATGAAAAAGACATTGAATTTGCTTTAAAATAAATTCTGTTTACTGAATTTGAAGACTTATCATACAAAGTGTTAGGATGGTTAGAGCAATGCAAGTTAGTTGTTCCTGAGTTTGATGTACCGTCATGGGACTTCTAAGACAATTAAATGTGATCAACATATGAAACCTGTGTTTGCCTATTTTTATTAGGTAGTAATATTTCCATTCCTATTTGTCGAATTTTCCTAATAACAAAACCTGGGTGGTATTTCCCAAAGATCCTAAGTTGAACTTATCTCCGAGTTGGATTTAACAATTATGGAAAGCTGTTAGCATTTTTGAAAATATTTCGTAAAATCTACCGTTTTAAAAGGCATAAAATGTTGATTTAAATCATTCATATTTTCTATTATCAAGGAGATTTCACGTTCTTGATGTGAAGTTTATAAAAATTCTAAAATACTTGAATTTTTGCTATTGAATATATCTTTGTTAAGGCTACAAATTGCTCTCCATAATGTTTAAGTCCAACTTAGACATAAGTTCAACTTTAAGATTTTTGTGAAAACACCCCCATATCTCTTATCCTCATACTGTACAGTGTGCACACATCCACATACTGGATCCTATCTCATCCCATACCTAATGTCTAATGTATGAACATGCACTACACAATATTATTTACAATAATATACAAAATACTTGTAAAATACAATTATACAACTTGATATCTCTTCACCATCTGTCAAAAAATCTTGAATAAGAGAAAATGTTGGGTCCTCGGGTTGACTACATTTTTGTCATATTCCAGCCATTATTTCACAATTATGACTCTAGAAGGGGAAATGAGAGCCAGACCATGTTATGGGAGAGCAATAAATAATATTGTCATAGATTAAGAGTGTATTCATCAATTTCTGTTTATTGTTATTCACTCAAATCTGGCTGTAAAAATGGTAAAATAATGTTGAAAATACAGAAACGGTTAAGTATGCACAAAGTAGAAATACGGTAACGTGTGAATTAAAGGTGTGGATCATGGATACAACTGAACAATAAATACTGGTACATGGATAATAGGATGACGTTCTTTCTGATTTAGGTATAAAGCTTAAAACCAAATTTTTGTGAGTGCAACGTGAGAAAGATTCAATTTAATGCAAGGATATATGAATAAGATTTACATTTTGTTTAAAAAAAAGTTTGACTCCAGTAATCAACAAGGCTAGTTTATTTTCAAAATAGCAATAACCATTGTGCTTCTTGTATCTAGATTTCTCACATGACAATATACGCATGTTTTTCAATAAGATCAATATCTTGCTTCTGGAGGACCAGTACATAAATCTTCTCCATATTGACCATAAAACAGTGACTTTATAGAGCAATTTTTTATTAGATTAGCTTGGATGGGATTGAAAATAAAAATACAGTCAAACCTGTCTTAGCGGCCACCTCTCCATAAAGACCACCTGTCTACCTCTAAGAACAAATGTGTGTTATAGACCTGTCTAGGAAGGCCAGTTTTCCCATTTACTAGAATCTAGAATACATACGGCCGATCCACAGCAACAGGTGCAGATAGGTGTTTTAATAATCCTAATCAAATATGCCACTTGCTCCATGTCGAACAGTCTTTACGAGATTAACAAAATGTGGAGAATCAGAGGAAATATGGAGTTGTCGTCCTGGCTGGAATCACACGTTCGCTGTCTGGAACGTTGCGGAATAGTTTTGCCTCTCGGGTGGTGGCGTCGTTGAATGCGAGTATCGATGCGATGTTTCCACAGCGGTAGCAGTAGTTGGGGGCGCTCCACACCGTTACTAGCTTATCGTCAAACATGTACTTGTATCCTTCTTGCACTAGCTGGTGAGCTCTGCATATTAGCTTCAGGTTGTTGATGTGAACAAACTGAATAAAGATGACACAAATAGAAATACAAGTTGGTGAGGAATAAGTTATGCATTAATCATGCACTTGTGATATCTTTGCACCAAATGTTTTGTTTGTTTGATGATTGTTTTACCCGACTGCTAAGAAAGCATGTATATGCTTGTAAGTAAACAACCAGGTGACCAACGGCTTCATGTCCTCTCCGAGGGACTTGGTAATCAGGATTAATGCCTAACCAAAGGGCACAAGCGCATGGACTTCGTTTCGAACCCTGGACCTCCCGGTTACAAGACCACTGCTCTACCACTGAGCCATCACGCCTCCTAGCTCTCCACATTTGCTTTAAACTCTCAAAAGATCAGGAATTTTCTAAATTGTAAATACAAATGTTGTATGATTCAAGACTACAAAGGAAAACTTCATTCTCTTCACAAAAACAGTTTTCAATACTGACCTCATTGGTGACCTTTGACCCAAACAGCCAGCCTGCTCCCCTCGGACTGATGGCCCATGTTTCCACGTTGTCAGGGTCCGACCAGACAAGATGTGAAGACTACTAAGTCAAGGAGAATCAACATTTAAAATATTATCAACACTGAATATCAAACATTGTCATTTATTAACCAATGGGATAAAATAAGTGTGTGATATTGTATTAACTCAAACTAATTATACATTCATACCCTCTTTCTACAATCGACCTGCTTTATTGCAAACCTAAAGGATGAGGATGATGAAGAAACAGAGCAGAGCAGATTTCCCATTATTAAATATGAAATCAAATCAGTTGTTCAATACCTCACATATGTTTGACATTCTTAGGAATCATACTTCGTTGTATCACCCATTCCTCGTCGATATAATCTTTCCTTCTGTATTTCAAAAACTCTATTTTTTTTTTCTAGTCACATTTGTCGAACAAATACATGGAAATACTGAGTTTGTAAAGGATATCACAAAATGCTCCTTTGTGTGGTATTTCCTGTGCACGTTCTATCATTCTGATCTGGTCGATAGTTTTGACGTCTGGTGACAGGCCTCCGTGTACACATAGAACCTGTTCATCTATGATCTAATAAAGACAGAGAGAAAATCAAAGAATAAATACTTCAATGAATAAAGAAGTGAATGATTTATTGCAAGGATGATCAAGCCCTTCTATATATATATCAAGCACCAATAAAGATTACCCCTTTACTTCTCTTGATGCATTTTCCTTCCTCCTTCCCTCCCTCCTTCTCTCTCTCTCTCTCTCTCTCTCTCTCCCCCTCTCTCCTTCCCTCTTTTTCTCTGACTTTGACACCTTTCTCTTATTGATTACAGTTATAGCATTCAATTTGTTTACTACCTTAACATGCATAATATTCAATTGGTTTTAATTCCAAATCTTCTTAAAACATCACTGAAAACATGAACAAAAAATATATCGGACTCATTCTATCAATAATATTTAATTCATTTAGACCGTATAATAATATAATTGATTAGGTACTTACTGCAGCAATAGTCAGAAGATCAAAGACTTTGGTACAGTATCTCCATGCATTAGCATTGCCGTATTTTGTCTGACATTCATCTAAAACACAATGACAATAACAAAATAGATTTCACATATCAACATATCTGTTGTAAAAGTGGAAAATGTATGCTTTGAATACTTGAAGACAAGAATGGGTGCATGTGAGAAGAGGTATGCGCCCAGTACCCCTTGGAGTCTATGCCAAGGTGAAGGCAAAGTGACGAATATGCCACTGAGAAATTGAACAGCAACTGTACTACAAGCCTCCAAAACCAGGAAAGAAAATATCACAATGATTGTAGGTACTGCGTCATGCTATATGAATTCTATTTAAGCAGGCCTTAAATTTCGTCATTTTTAGGGCAAGGCCAGTTTGGCCTCGAGTACCTCATATTTTTAAGGGCACCAAGGCCAAAATATTTTTACAAAAAGGGCATCGAGGCCAAAATATTTTACAAAAAGGGCATCGAGTATGAGGCCAAAAAAATTGATTCTATTTTTGTTAGATGTCATGTGTATTTTATGAAACTTGTGCAGGATCAATTTCCCATGACTTTTAGCACCAGCTTCTTCACAGAATGTATAGAGGTCTACGGTACATACAAACAAGCAGGCGCGTAGCCACGGGGGGCACGTGCCCCCCCTAAAATTTCCAGGATCGGTTGAAATTTTGTAGACCCCTTTTTTTTACCTCGATCGATTACATGTATGTGCCCCCCCCCCAAACACCAAACTCTGGCTACGCGCCTGCAAACAAGGCGGCGGCCCGCAAGCCTTAGATTTAGCAGCCAGGAGCAAGGGGCAATTTTTGTTTTAAGTTGCCCTTTGCCACGGGAATTTACCAGAGCAAGGGGCAATTTTCCAAAAACAGATAGGCCGCTTATCTAATCATAAGTTCAAAGAGAGACAAATGTTAATTTCATAATGTGAATAGATTGAACGATCAATTTAATAACTTTTTAATCTTAACAATATGAACAGGAAAGATTGATTAAGAACATCAAACTTGCACATTAAACAGTATTTTAAAGTAACTAAAAATATTGATGAGCAAATGAATAAATAAATTGTCAATTTCACAAACATCGAAAGTCAGAAGGACTTAATTGGCAAGTTTACCGGGCCGGGTATTCCAAATCAAAATCGCACCTCACACACAAACCTTCCGCCACTCTCTCGGTAGTAGGAGCAAATTTGAAGAAATTATCTTTTGAACTGTTGTATAGAAAGGTCTACATAGGCCTAACTAATGAAATAAGATGTAAAAATGTCCTTATAGACATTCGACAGCTGAAAGTGACACGCTCAGCTCAGTTGCGTAACGTGCATTCACGAAACCAAAATCGTTCCTCGCACACACACTCTCGCCACTTTTGGTGGGAAGCTGTCGGGCTGGAAGTTTGCCAGCGAAACCGATGCACCCTCGGAATTTTACCGGGACTCGAAACGTTCGTCTTGGGAAGCTGGCGGGGTAGCTTTTTGAAGCGAGGTCGGCTGGTGGCAAAATGAGAGTAACTACGATCGAGAACATCGTAGGTGTTCTGAACTTATTAATAAGATAATTCTAAATTCTATTTGAGATAAAATAATAAACTAGGCCTACAAACAAACCTCGACAGATCTCTAATGACTATTTGAATGCTTGTTTATTTCTCCATTTGACGATTTGTTTTCTTGATCCTGGCCTTCGATTTGTACGTACGTGCGTGCGTCAACAGCATGCACCGTATGCATATCATGCGATCGCATAATATGAACGTACGTACGTACGTACGTGCGCTAGCGCATTGCCTATATAATAACAAAGGGCGCATTTTCACGGCACTTGCGCCTTATTAAAGCACTAAATACGAAGCGAGCTCGTGGGCGGCAAACTGTTCGTGATTCGTGTATTTTTACTGTTCTAATAATTTATGGGCGCATTTTCACGGAAAACACTTGCGCCTTGCCGTCTAGTTTTAGATGATTATGGGCGCAATTGGTGGTTTTATGTGCGCAAATTTAAAATAAAAAGGGCACGTCCAGTTGGAAAAAAAGGCCATCGGCCAGTTTGAAAAAAAGGGCACGGCCTTTTTGGCCGTGAATATATCTTTTTTTGGGAGGGCACCGCGGCCAGTCATAGGGGCATCGACGGCCTGGCCGTCGATGGCCGTCGATTAATTTAAGGCCTGATTTAAGTGTATGCAACAAAACTTGAATCAATTTAGATAGCTATGCTTAGGGTAGAAAAGTTATTGGTAATTTTATTTCTGAGGTAAGAAGAAAAAAAAAAGCGTTATAGCAAGGTACGGCGTACAATTGCGAGAGGGAAGTACCAAGAAAAATATATCTTGGTTATTTACATAATGAATATAAAATAATCTTGACCATAAAATTGGAATAACTTTTCTTTCCTTTCTTTAATTAAACGATTGTGACAAGGTATGATCTATTTTCCATAGATAAACTTGACTTTCTTTTCAGATCTGTATTGATTTATATCTATGACTCCTTACACTATTTAATAAAGTTCAGAGAAGATATAAACTTTATCTATCAAGAATAAATCATACTGTCACAATCATTTCATTAAAAAGAGGTAGCCAAAATTTATTCAACTTTATGGGCAATAGTGTACCATTATCATTAATTCAGAGATGCCAACCTCTTGACACAAAAAAACAGACTGAGTATCCTAAAAATTTCAAAAAAATGTTTGCTCTTTCATTAATTTAATAAGAAAATTGTAAAGCAAAATTTTTGTTGGGGTTGCGGGGGTTCACTTGTACATGTTTATGCGGTTCTGCTGTTTTTATGGGTTAAAAAAAAATAAAAAAATAAAAATGAAAAATCATATTTTAAGATCGTATTTCACTCTTATTATCGTACTGGTTGGCATCTCTGTTAAATTCCCTATAAAGGGAGCCTGTATAGGAATTTTTTCCAAGGTTGCATTCAGCGACAGATTGATTACTTGAACTCACCATAGAATCCATAGACCTGTGTAATTTGTCTGCTCTCGTGGTTCCCACGTAACAGGACAATACGGTCCGGAAACTTAGCTTTGAGTGTGAGTAACCTGGTGAATGTCTCCAAGCTGTAGTACCCTCTGTCTACGAAGTCACCCTGCAAAAAGAAAATAATAATAATGATAATAATACATTTATAGAGCGCAGAAACTATTTAACATTAAGTATATATTCTACCGCGCTACAAGAGCTCCTGATATGCTTAGATTTACAGTTAATTAAAAAGATGTGTTTTCAGTTATGATTTAAAAATATTTACAGATGGTGATTTCCTGACTTCAAATGGCAAGTGATTTCAGAGTTTTGGGGCTGCACAAGCAAAAGCTCGATCACCTAGTGTTATTTTTGTTTTGATAGATGGGATCTGCAGCGACAAAGTATCACGGAAACTGCGCAAGTTGCAATTGTGTTGATTAAGTTTGAAATTCAACAGTTCTTTGATATAAGTGGGAGCTTGACCAAGAATGGGACCCATGAAGTATTTCAAAATGACACCCTGAATTGGAATTCTTTTTGAGGTGTCATGGTCTGGTGGATACATCGTCGGCCTGTGGAGCACATGGTTTGTGGTACGAGTACCACTGCAGAATTAATGTCCTTCGACATAAGAATTATAAAAACCTAGAGCCAAGTCCAAGGGTAGGAACCATCATATTGTCACTCTGGAGCTAGACGGGTGCGTCAAGTAATATCATTATATCGAAACACAAAGCCCCCCGCCTGGCTGAGCTGGCTCTAAATGGATGATATTAATATAAAAACAAATCCAGACATTCTTCAATCCCTTATTACTATATTTTAAGTAAATTTCCATTTATGTAACATGCAGTATACACTTAGATGTCTAAAACAAGATTTCACTTACAAGAATAGATGATTAACAAAAATATTAAAAAAATTACCATGAAAATGTAGCTTGTATCTGGGATCTGACCTCCTGTCCTAAACAGCTCTTCCAAGTCATAAAACTGCAAAAAAGAAGAAAAAAACAAACTTTAACAGTAAATAGGGGAAAATATACAACAACAAATGTGTAACGTGGCAAAGGTACATGTACATTTAAGTGTAAACGAAAGATATCAAATGGGTGAAATTGACAAATCTGAAAAACGATAAAGGCATGTAAAAGAATACAGTGACTGCTACCACACTCACAAAAAAGTATCAATTTCTTCTTATAATGATACATTGAAGGAGGAGGAGGAGGAGGAGGAGGAGGAGAGGAGGAGAAAGGAGGAGAAAGGAGGAGAAAGGAGGAGGAGGAGGAGGAGAAAGGAGGAGGAGGAAGAAGAAAGCAACAAATTTAATCAGGAATGCTTCTCAAGTACATCAAAATTACCTGGCCATGTATATCCCCACATACTGTCACTGGAGTTGAAACCGGCTGAACGTTGCATTCTTCTAACTGCAGGTCACACACCAAGTCACATAATTTCTAGGAGATGAAAAGTAGAGAAATAATTTATTTGGAAGGCATGAAGTACATACAAGACACTATGAACATGACAGACAAAGAGAGCGGACAAAATATACAGTTCCTCAGGTAGACAAAGGAACATTCCTTCACTGCTATTGTGTAAAACAGGTGTCATATGCATATTCACCTGTTCTACACATTTTTACATAATAGCAGAGAAGGGATGTTCCTTTGTCTACCTGAGGAACTGTATATTTTGTCCGCCTTCTTTGTCTGTCATATTCATAGTGAGAGGAGCATGTGTGTAGTACACACACACAGAGGCATATATATCAAGGTAGACCAAATGCTCCAGACTCTGATACCGACGATTATTCCAACTGACTCACTGAATGCCTCTATGCAGAGACTGAAGTACATCGTACAGGTAAGTGAGGCAATGCACTTTGCATGATTGCTAATCTCATCATGTGCAGTTCACTAACTTCAAGAAAAAAACGGACAGATTAGATTAGCTGAAAGTTAAGTCCTTATGTTTTTATATTTTACAATGATTTTCAACATTTTTGTTTATAGTTTATATAAAATTTGACTTATTTTCTTTCTACTCATCATTTTTAAGACTAGATAACTTGTGCATTTGGCAAGGATTACCATCTGTGTATAGGGAAGATTGACAAATATTGTCAATTTTACTAAAGAATTCCCCACACCAGATGGGTAGGATGAGAGAAGCCAGTTAATGAAAAGTCAATTTCCCAGAGACTCTCTATAGACATTAAGTTCTCAAATATATTGATGAGATTGGAAAACAAAAAGTTAAGCTCAAAGTAAAGTAGCAATGGCTTCTTACAAGGAGTTTTCAAGGCTGGAAGAGGTGTTCAAAATGTACATGATAAACCGCCGAGTTGCCAATTGGCGTTTGATTAATTATACAATTTCTACTTCCCAATCTTCTATCAGATTTTACTTGAACTTAACCTGATATGAATGATCCTCTCATTTTTAATTTTATACCTTTGTATTGGGCAACTTGATGCCCGAGTTGAGTGGACTTTTCCTTTTGTTTCGTCTCCGTACAACAGAATTTACTACAATGCTTAGAGTCTATCCTAATTTGTGCATTGCAATAACAAATAAAACATGCAGTTGGTGCAACAATTGAACAGTTAATAATACTTTCAAATAGACCTCTATTCTAAACATCCTGACCATTTGTCCTTTCACATTTTCATTCTATCTTGAATTTTGAAACCTGTGCCTGATTTTGAGGGGACTGGCAGGCATTTTACTTAGGAGTAGCAGCACACAGACATTGTCATTGATCAGGTTCTTGATTTAGCAATTTAGCGGCGACTCGAGTCCAAGATTGAAACATTTTCAATGTGATATTTACTCATGACAGTTCTGTTGTAAAAGAATATTTACAAGTTGCTTGTGATGCTCAAATGACATCATGTATTGAATGACTCAACCTTAAACTTTACCTTTCGTCCTACATCAACTCAATCGCCACTGCACTGCACTGCAGTTGCTGAGCCGAGCTGATCAGTGAGCGGCGCACAGCGTTAGTGTAACTGTAAGTGCCAATGCATGAAAACTACGGCTTCCCAAACCACGGAAAAGATTTGTGGTTTATATTTAAAATAACACGAATGATAAATATTTAGCTAGTTTCTAAGAGTGTCCGTACATACCTTCAAGTCATTTTCTGGAAGATATTTGCACTGCTTCGCAATCTCTATCCATCTATCGAGGTTCGATGTTTCTGCCATTTTGAATGAATATGTGAGTCATGAGCTAAGAACCGGAAGTTGATGATTCTTGTTATGTATGCGCTACACATGCACGGTACGGTGGCTGCATCGAGGGGATGGGAGCCAAAGGAGGGCTAGGGGTGGCGGTGGTGGTGGTGGTGGTGGGGGGGGGGGGGGGGGGGGGGTATTTACGTCATAGCCGTTAAGTTAGAACAAGAAGTGAAAGAAAGAAATAAATAAAAGAAGAAAGGGAGATTGAAAAATAAAGAGAGAGAGGGAGATTAAAACATTTAATTAAAACAAATATGTTCATACTGCAGATCCTCCGGCCCCCATGCACCCCTCCCCCCGGCACCCCCCCCCCCGAAAAAAAAAAAAAATTGAGAGAGAACCATAACATATTGAAATTTGCAAGAATCAAATGACAAATGAATGTCAAGGTAATGTCAAGAATTTTTTCAATTGCCTGTCAATCTACCCCCTTTCTTTCATCATCGTCATCGTCATCATCATCGTCATCATCATCATCATCATCATCATCTTCATCATCATCATATCGACATTTCTGGATTGAATTTAATCTATAAGTTATGTGCATGAAATCTAAATTTCGATCAGGAATGTATGTGGATATAATAAATCAGATGTACATAATTACTATACACCATCATTGCAGTGACTTTTTTTAATACCGTTTACATTTAAGCTGAAAAACACATATAAACAAATGAATACATCTGAAGACATCATGTTCTTATAAAATATTTATTCAAAACTTTCCCTCATTTCATTTCCATTCCTTATACATGTATACAACATACATGAATAATAAACATGCAAAGTAAAAGGAGACTTCGCATAGCAGCACGTAATATACACATTTTTATCAATTAACAAACAAGTATAAACATGATGACTTTTAAAAGTACTTTGATCTATAAAAACATCCAGGTCATATATATGTGAATGATTCGAAACCAAATAATTATATAAAACAGAAAAAAAAGAAGAAAAAAAAAGAACATAGGTAAACATGATACATGAATTGGCCACTAAACAATAGTTAGATATCTTGATCAAACCTGATCACATAAATGTGTTGGTCCTCTGCATTTAATGTGGTAAGAGCATTGGTTATTTGATTTAGTGGTCACACCACTTGGAAAATGCTAATGAAAAGAGCCTCGCAATCTAGAAGTAAAAAAATATATACCGGTAGTACATATAGTTATCATTATCAGAAGAGGATGACAGAGCCTTTAGTAAAATTGTGTTTTTAAAGAAATCTTTGCAGAAAAAAAAATCAAATTGCAATAACTACAATCTGTGTTTTGATAGTTTACAAAATATATATATGATATTGGTTGCATATATTCTGACAGGCAAATGTTTCTTATCTGTACAATCTATATAAAAACTTTTCTATGGTATTTGAATTCCTGATAAACAGAATATTGTATTTCACTAGTGGGCATACAACCTAAACTGTGATTATATCTCCCAAACTATAAGCCCTGTTTCATAAAACTTGCTATCAATCCTGATTAAATGCTAAATTTTGTATGACAAATTTTCTCTCAGTGAATCAAATGCCACGATTTCAGTAGTTTATAACATTAATTGTAACTTGTTATTGATAACAATTAGTTTTGTGAAACAGGGCCTAGAACCTAGCTGAGCCATTCATGAAGATAAAGAGACCTACAAGAATCTTAAAACACATACCGGTACATAGTACATACAAGATACAAGATAATTAATTTGGTCTTTGCAAACATGATAGTTACATAGAAATTTGGCTTCCACTGGCGTTACAATAATATTCAAGAAAATACACAACTACAAGAAATAAATATATCACATTTATAGATGAAATAAGGAACAAATACATGTAAAAGATAATGTTTGGTTTCCCAAAATTCAGGAATCATTAAAAATAGAGAATCTCTGTTCTTGCCTTTATAAAGAATTTAGAAGTATACAACGCCACCCTTTATAGAAAGTAATCCACGAAGGATTGAATCTGGTTTCAAATGAAAGTGGACGTAATATTCAAGATATGGAATTGTCAGAGCTGTGCTGGCTGCCAAGGTGGAGTATGCAGTTGGACATGTATGAAAGGATGATGGAAGGATATGTGCATTTGTGTGTCTGTGTGTGATAATGTATGTATGTTTGTTAATTTGAAATGAGCTGGTGGAATCAGTGTGGCAGGGTTTAGCTAAGATATAAGGTGGACATAGATGGAGATGAGCATGTGGTTGAGCTAAAGACCAAGACCAGTGAACTTCCAGGAGACCCACCCACCCACCCAGCCATAGCCATACCAGCAAGCTGAGGAAGAGGCCGATGCAACGTCCAAGAGATCCCCCATCCTCAAGATGACAAACCAGCTGCCACATACTCCAGTCACGTGGAGGAAGGAATTTCGAATTCAGGGGCAGATTGGCGAGCCTAGCCAGAAGAATAAACTTTCTTTTGTTTCCCTCACCAGACAGATCAGCAGTAGCCTAAAGAAGGGATTCCCAGCTGATGAGATCACAGAAGCAGTGGTGCGTGCCGTCAGCCCAGGGCTCTCGCTTCGAAAGCTATTTGGAGGGGCGAAATGATTTAGACTTGCCACTGCTGCGATCCCATTTTAGGGAGAGGGACGCCACTGCACTCTTTCAAGAATTATCCACTGCTGTACAGGTTTCTAAGGAATCAGCGCATGACTTCGTCCTCCGCACCCTGGACCTGAAACAGAAAGTACTGTTCGCCTCGGAGGAAAAGGGAGCAGCAATCTGCTATGGCAGCACGCAGGTCCACAAGATGGCATGGAGAGCAATCTCCACCGGTCTCCAGGATGCTGTTATCCAGCATGAGCTCAGATCAACTCTGCAATAAGATGTCTCCGATGAGGAGCTCCTGGAGGTATTGACTACTGCAGTTGCCCATGAGAGCGAGCGGCAACAAAAGTTAAAACCCCACCAAGCCCGAGTTGCTGCTGCTGTCATCACAGAACCGACACAACCGACACATTCTACCCCTAAACAAACAAGTAAGCCAGAGACTTTGTCAAGGCGGAGCTCAGTGCGCTGATGGCTTAACAGAGAGGACCAAGAGCTGGTAGGAGAGAGAGGGGCTGCGAGGCATGCCAGCAGCAAGGACAAGGGGAGAGCTGTCGCCACTGTTTCCGCTGTGGAAGCTCCGAACACTATGCCAGGGGCTGCCACCTAAGGAGGCAGGGAAATGGGGTAGGGTTACTCGGGAGGGACAACCAGTAACCTCAGACCCGTCACAGTCCCTACCTACCCTCAACTCAACAACAATAAACCCCAAGACGAGGACGAGGATGGTGAAACTGGTAGGAAAGCAATGCATTGTATCTCTGGTCCTGAATGATACTCCTGTGGAAGTCTTGTGGGACACAGGGGCACAAGTCTCGATAATATCATCAGATTGGCTGCGACGGTGCATACCAAAAGCCCAAGTACTACCGATTTCAGCTAACCTGGATGGAGAAGAGTTTGCGTTTGCGTGACTTCATTACTTCCCTACACAACTGGGGGAGAATCGGGTACAGCTGGAAAAGGCGACGAGAGGAGGAATGCAAACAAGGATCAATGAACCAGGGAGCAGCACTCCCGACAGAGTGGGAAATGTCAAACATCCTCACTCACAATGTGTCCTCCGACTACCGTATGTGGATGGTTGAAGGTCGTTGGGAGAGTAAGGTGAGAAAGCAGGCCTCCTTCTATCAAGGACCTTCTTGACGAGGAAAATGACCAGTCTTTGGCAAACTGATGGAGAAAGACCAGGGCAGCAACACCTCAACCCCTTTGTGATTAAGACCAAGCAACACTCTACCACCTGATGTCTTTGAGAATCAAGATCTGTTTGGCCGTCAACATTGGCGTCAAGTACAGTACTTGGCGGATGTCTTCTGGAGAAGGTGGATCAAGGAATATCTGCCAACCTTGCAGTGCAGACAGAAGTGGCTGAACAAGGAAAGAAACTTATCGATTGGTGAATAAAATAAAAAAATAAAATATTTTGATAAACATTTTTTTTGTCAGAGTGGTAAATTGAAGAAAAGAGTGGAGGAGCTGGAGAAAGAGCTGGGAGTAGGAGGAGTAAGTGTCCCAGTAAGTGTCATATCAAATTGTATAATTCTAAGATAACTTTTAGACCAGGTTTAGACCAGATAGTTTTTAGAAAAAATGACTTTTCATGTACTGTAATTGTTCATGATGCTATTATGTATTAAATGTATGCTTAAGTTAATATTTCTGTGAATTTATCATGTTTCTTCAAAGGAGTATCAATATATTCTATGATTGTCTGGTCGAAAAACTATTTTGCTGAAGCCCTTATTCTTAACTAGTGGGAGAAAAGACATAAAAATATATGCCACTTTCAACTTGAATTTTTCTTCTTCTCATTTCTCCTAACAGATCATCCATGCTCAGGACAGGTTCCGCCAGGGAGGGCCAAATATTTGTATGTAAGATATATAGAATTGTCATTCATTTGCATTATTTTGTACAAACATGGCTTGACCTAAATGGCTAGATTACTTTTCTAGCGATGATTTGTGAAACATGATAGTAATTGCCTTTAACGTATATGTATAGCTTTTGATGTAATTGTGTGTGTGTGTATCTATAAATGAATATGTTATGGTAAAATAATCTTTCCATTAATATACAGTTTTCTCTCTGGTGGGGACCTTCAGCTTCCCCTCTCCCAGAAATCCCACCCCATCAGCATGATGAAGACGGAATAAGCTTCAATGCGAACCCTGTCGACGCGTGGTATGAATATACTAATGACACTGGAACCCAAACGTCAGACCCCGAGGACCACATATAAGCGTCAATGGACAGATGCCGTATTTCTATCAAACAAAACCCGGACTCAACACACACCGAGGCCTGCAGCAAGACTCAGAGCTACTTTCACATGTTAAAAAGTAGAGAAAGTATTGCCCGGGTCTTCAAGACTCTTCACCTTCCCGGAGGAGGGTTTTATACAAGATTTGAGTATAAAGTTTGCAAGTTCTCAACGAGGGTGACGGCCGGTACAATATACACAGGCCTAAGCGATTTAGTGAATTAAGCGACATTTAGAGATTCTTCTTGTATTATTCTGGAAAATTACTCTCTACAGAAGGAGAATTGTGGAGACAAGGGGATATATATGTCTGTAGTAAACTGTTTGCTCTGTGTTGCTGTGTTGATGCCCCTGCTGGTGCATCAATGCAAAATAACTTTGCGTTTCAATGGTTATTTTGGGTGTGGCCTTTGTTACCATCCTGGAAAACTTGTAGACAGTGTTGTGAAATATCGTATTGATGTATGTGATTAGGAAGATAGGGATAATAATGACATGACAGGGTGTGGCCTGTGTTACCATCCTGTAAAACTTGTAGACAGAGTTGTGAAATATCCTATTGATGTGTGTGATTATGAAGATAGGGATAATAATGACATGACAGGGTGTGGCCTGTGTTACCATCCTGGAAAACTTGTAGACAGAGTTGTGAAATATCCTATTGATGTGTGTGATTATGAAGATAGGGATAATAATGACATGACAGGGTGTGGCCTGTGTTACCATCCTGGAAAACGTGAAGACGGAGTTGTGAAATATCCTATTGATGTGTGTGATTATGAAGATAGGGATAATAATGACATGACAGGGTGTGGCCTGTGTTACCATCCTGGAAAACTTGTAGACAGAGTTGTGAAATATCCTATTGATGTGTGTGATTAGGAAGATAGGGATAATAATGACATGCAGGATGATACGGCTCAATCCATGTAGGAAGGAAGAACAATAAGAGGAGTCAAGGGTCCAAGTGCCTTTATTAACTTCGATTATTTCCAATAGCTTGGGGATTCCCTGCAGATTTTATGCATTGTTTACTGTTAGGAGTTGTAAGACAAATAGCAGTCTTATGGTAACCCATACTATATCGGGTCTCCCAGAATACTGTCTTTGTTAGATGAACGACTCAAGTCAATTAAACCTCCTAGCTTTGTTGCCAGAGCCCCACGTCCAATGTCAGAGCGAAAATTTTGGAAGGCCACTGAATGGTACATGTGGTTGCTTTTTTATAGTTTACCATGTCTGAGCGGCATTTTGCCAGATATTTATATGAATCATTGGTTGTTACTACAGAAATGTATTTCTCCTGATGATTGAAACACAAGTGATATACTGATAGTTTCATTTGTAGGCAGAATGCAGATCTTGTATGGATCTGCAGCCATGTCATTTAATTTGCATTCTTAACACATTTACCCAAAAGTGTCAGCATGTGGGGTCCCTTATAGACACGCTCATGTTTTCCATTTGAGTCGTTTAACTGGCGCATTGAACAACAGTTGCAAGGGTACAGAGGAATTATTACACAAACTATGCATGAGTTTTTAATTTTGCAGAATCTTCCTCACTGGATAGACATTTATTTAACGTCTCCTATTCCAAGTGATTTCTCTAACGTAATGCTAAATAAAAGAAAAATTGAAGACAGAAAGACTGCATATTTGGGGGTGTGTTTGTCCTGGGCATTGGCAAGCTTCGTGATCTCTCAAGACCTTCGAGCTGGGGCATATACTCAAAGAAGGGTACCACACGTCAAGTGATCTTACACTTGCCTTTGATCAGTCAAATGGGGGGTTTCACTTCCCCCCTCAATCTTGACCAATATTAATCCACTCGATTGAGCAGTGGACGAGTGCGATGTTGACCTTTGTATCAATTTACACAAAGAGGCATGGTTCACGGTCGCGAGAGCTGCTTAAGTACATGAACATAGTGAGGACGGCTGCTCAATCTTGACCATGTTATCCGCTCGATTGAGCAGTGGACGAGCGCGATGTTGACCTTTGTATCAATTTACACAAAGAGGCATGTGTCACATATTAAGTGCAAACAAACTAACAAAGTAGTTGAATTCCATAAACCATAGTCTGGTGTTTATTCCCCGCACTGGGTATCAAGTCACGCGTATCGCATATACATCGCGCACATGCGATCTGACCTCCTGAGGTCACAGGTGTCACATTTGCATAATCTGATACATATTCATTATCATGACAGCATGGTTCACGGTCGCGAGAGCTGCTTAAGTACATGAACATAGTGAGGACGGCTGCTCAATCTTGACCATGTAAACCGCTCGATTGAGCAGTGGACGAGCGAGATGTTGACCTTTGTGTCAATTTACACAGAGAGGCATGGTTCACGGTCAAGAGAGCTGCTTAAGTACATGAACATAGTGAGGACGGCTGCGGCGTCGAACTACAATTGGCACGAGTACGATATTCAGTTTCGGTCGCGCTAAGCCACAAGGCCTGAAGCGTCGTAGGGGGCAGTCGACACGGAACAAATGATAATATTCCATTTTTTTAAATAGCTTTTTAATATATTTGGTTTGTAGAAATAAAATAAAAAATATGTTTGAAATATATTTCAGAAAAAAATATGTCTGAAATATATTTAAGAACTATTTTTATTTCAAAGCTATTTAAGGCTCCTATTTTAGGTTCCAAATCTATGCTATTTGAAATATATTTTTTGGGAATGAGAAAAATAGGAAAAAAATATATTTCAAAACTATTTGTGGCTTTATATTTGTTCTTTTTTTTGTTCCAAATCTATGCTATTTGAAATATATTTTGGGGGGATGACAAAAATAGGAAAAAAATATATTTTTGTATTTATTTTTTCCCTATTTTTTCTTATTTTTTTCCTATTTATTTTTTACTAGGGAATCGTTGATAATCTTCCAAGGAACAAATGGCTAATGGGAAAGGTAGCTGAAACCTCTCCAGTGAAAGTGAAGCATAGCAGTGGAAGCCTTGTATATAATAAAGATTGGCTGCGACGGTGCATGCTATAAGTCCAATTCCTACCAATTTCATCTCTCCTAGATGGAGAGAAGACCTTACAGGTCGCTGCAGTCAACAACACAGTCGTCTCTTATAAAGGGCTGGCAAAGCTCCAATTAAACATACCAAGGAGTGAGCAGGAACCAGCCATTACCGTTCCCTACAAAATGCCAAAATTGGAATAACCGTAACGCCGGCAAATACGGTATGGGCCAGCCTCATACATAGTCATGACGAATAGCGATGGCCTGGTGCATAGCAGACTAGCAGTCTACTAGTGGCAAAGTCTCACTTACACCACTGAAGAGAGTAACTATCCCTTGACTGGAGCTAATGGCAGCGACTCTCTCAGTGAAGCTGGATGCTATTATAGTGATCCCCAAGAAGCTCCAGATAGGTACTTTGTATAATGCCACTGTAGTAGGAGGAACAGAGCCGGGGACAGATCCACCCAGAGGAACTGGAGCTGCACCAGTACATGTAGATGTTGATTGGTCTTCACTCGGTAAAAGACAGTCCCAGGCGCTGGAGGACCTCTTAGAGAGACATCGTGAGGTTTTTTCAGCACATGACCAGGATTTTGGTTATACTGACAAGGTAATTCATCGGATTGAGACCGGGGACGCCGTCCCATTCAAAGAGAGACATAGGCCCCTTCCTCCGACTCAGTACCAGGCGGTACGAGATCATATCCATGACCTGATACGTAAGGGAGTTGTTCGGGAGAGTCAGAGTCCATGGGCCTCGCCCGTAGTGATAGTCAGAAAGAAAGACTCAAGCATCAGGTTGTGTGTGGATTATCGTCACTTGAATTGCCTTACACGTCGGGATTCTTTCCCACTCCACAGGATAGAGGAATCACTCCAAGCTTTAGGGGGAGCCCAGTTCTTCACGGTGCTAGACTTGACCAGTGGCTATTATCAGGTAGCTATGCACTCGGGTGATATTGAAAAGACTGCATTTTCCGTGCCCTTCGGACTCTTTGAGTACACACGACTCCCATTTGGGTTGACGAATGCCCCTGCGACCTTTCAGAGACTCATGCAAAGATGTCTTGGAGACATGTGCTATACAAGTGTACTACTATACATAGATGACATAATTGTATTCTCCCCTGACTTTGATACTCACCTACAGAAGCTTGATGAAGTATTCTCTAGATTGAAGAGCTACGGGTTGAAACTGAAGCCTTCGAAATGCCACATCCTGCAGAAAGAAGTCCAGTATCTTGGGCATAGAGTGTCATCAGCCGGAGTAGCAGTTGACCCGGAGAAGGTATCCACAGTAAAGGAATGGCGGGAACCAGCGACTGTCAAAGAGGTTAGAGCATTCTTAGGGTTCACTGGTTTTTTTAGGAGATTCGTGGAAGGATATGCCACCATGGCCGGCCCTCTGTTCAATCTACTCAAGGCAGACCCAGATAGAAAGGGGAAAAGCAGGAAGAGAGCAGTTCCTGGTTCTAAGAAGGTAGTATTGGATGAAGAAGCTAGAACAGCTTTCCGAAAGCTGATAGAGTGTCTCACAAATGCACCTATTCTAGCATATGCAGACTTCACAAAAACCTTTCAGGTAGAGACAGATGCTAGTGTAACAGGACTTGGGGCCATACTCACTCAATCTGATGAGACCGGTAACCATCATGTGATAGCCTATGCCTCCAGGACTTTACGGCCTGCAGAGCGTAGTGGACGGTACAGCGCCTTTAAACTCGAGCTTCTTGCGATAAAGTGGGCTGTAACAGAGGCCTTCAGAGACTATCTCCTCAGCCAGCCATTGTCATCTGTATTGTCCGAGGTCTACCCCCACTCATTCCGGCTACCCGTCACAATCTACCACCCCCTTACACTATGCTGAGAAGAGAACTAGAGGTACCCATCAACCGGCCAGTCTTCTGGACTGAAAGCAATACTGCAGTACATCAGAAATGAAGAGAAAAGGTTCAACACCTTTGTAGCCAACAGAATAGCAGTCATCAGAGACCATTCAGAACCATTCAGCAAGATCTGTATGACCGTCAACGGTGGCGTCAAGTACAGTTCTTGGCGGATGTCTTCTGGAGAAGGTGGATCAAGGAATATCTGCGGACCTTGCAGTGCAGACAGAAGTGGCTGAACAAGGAAAGAAACTTATCGATTGGTGACATCGTGCTAATCATCGATGATCTTCCAAGGAATAAATTCTTCTCGTATTATTCTGGAAATTACTCTCTACAGAAGAAGTATTGTGGAGACAAGGGGATATATACATCTGTAGTAAACTGTTTGCTTTGTGTTGCTGTGTTGATGCCCCTGCTCGTGCATCAATGCAAAATACTTTGCGTTTCAATGGTTATTTTGGGTGTGGCCTGTGTTACCATCCTGGAAAACTTGTAGACAGAGTTGTGAAATATCCTATTGATGTGTGTGATTATGAAGATAGGAATAATAATGACATGCAGGATGATACGGCTCAATCCATGCAGGACGGAAGAACGATAAGAGGAGTCAAGGGTCCAAGTGCCTTTATTAACTTCGATTATTTCCAATAGCTTGGGATTCCCTGCAGATTTTATGCATTGTTTACTGTTGGGAATGGTAAGACAAATAGCAGACTTATGGTTTTCATCACCAGCAGGTAACCCATACTATATCACGCCTCCCAGAATACTGTCTTTGTTAGATGAACGACTCAAGTCAATTAAACCTCCTAGCTTTGTTGCGAGAGCCCCGCGTCCAATGTCAGAGCGAAAATTTTGGAAGGCCACTGAATGGTACATGTGGTTGCATTTTTATAGTTTACCATGTCTGAGTGGCATTTTGCCAGATATTTATATGAATCATTGGGTCATTTTTGTTCAAGCTTCCTTTTTGATACTTCAGAAATGTATTTCTCCTGATGACTTAAACAGAAGTGAGATACTGGTAGTTTTAATTGTAGGCAGAATGCAGATCTTGTATGGAACTGCAGCCATGACATTCAATTGCATTCTTTAACACATTTACCCCACAGTGTCAGCATGTGGGGTCCCTTATGGACTCACTCATGTTTTCCATTTGAGTCGTTTAACTGGCGCATTAAACAACAGTTGCAAGGGTACAGAGGAATTATTACACAAACTATGCATGAGTTTTTAATTTTGCAGAATCTTCCTCACTGGATAGACATTTATTCAACGTCTCCTATCTCCTGTGGGGTCCCTTATGGACTCGCTCATGTTTTCCATTTGAGTCGTTTAACTGGTGCATTAAACACCAGTTGCAAGGGTACAGAGGAATTATTACACAAACTATGCTTACGTTTTTAATTTTGCAGAATCTTCCTCACTGGATAGACATTTATTCAACGTCTCCTGTTCCAAGTGATTTCTCTAACGTACCGGTAATGCTAAAAAAAAGAAAACTTGGAGACAGAATGACTGCAAATTTTGGGGAATAGGATGTGTTTGTCCTGGGCATTGGCAATTGTCCTGGGCATTGGCAAGCTTCATGATCTCTCTGCACATGAAACTGATGCTCTTCAAAGAACTGATTATTATGTTAGGGAACGTAATGAGGTTCAAGAGTTCAAAAGAATGTATAAGAATGGAATGTCCTTTTACACTACTACATACAGGACGCAAAGTATTCGTAGAAATAATAGTCTTGTGTTACTTCAGAATCAGAGAGTAGGAGAATTGCAGAGTATACTCACTTATAATCAGCAGTGTATCATGATTGTAAAGTTTTTAGGCTATAATGGAAGAGTCCCCATTTTTAGACATGCAGACACCGGCTGCAACTCACATTTGAGAATATAAAATGGCTTTGAACCGGAGATCCAGGCCTTGTATGCAAATGAACCTGAGATCCAGGCCTTGTATGCAAATGAACCTGAGATCCACGCCTTGTATGCAAACGAACCTGAGATCCACGCCTTGTATGCAAATGAACCTGAGATCCACGCCTTGTATGCAAACGAACCTGAGATCCAGGCCTTGTATGCAAATGAGGCGCTTGGTAATTGTGTGCTTATGTCTTTTGGAAAAAGTCATTGCGTTGGAAGTTTTCCCAACTATGTATTACATTACTTAACTAGCTTTAAAATTGCATTAATGCACATTTCTTCTATGATTACCCGTCTCCTCTGCAATTGTAAAAGTAAACAATACTATGTATTTTTAAATGTGTTTGTGTGTGTTCTGCTAGGGCACAAATACATCTAGACAATAGCAAATTTGGCACAGGCCATTGTTATGCCTATACCCATCTCCATACTCACTGTAAGCTTCATACTTTAGAGATGAATGGTAGTAAAGTGACATGTTCAGTTGTAATGTATGCAAATCTATGTTTGTATAGAACAATCAGGTACCCTTATAATAAGCGATTTCGTAATTAGACCATGGGCTGCCGGCGAGTCACGTGACTTGGCTAGGTCACGGGGTCATTTCCCCTAAAAAATCTCGCTTTCGAACCCGCTGTGTGTGTGTACATGCACGCTTCGTATACAACTTACATGTTTGTTTACATCTAGTTTTCAGCGTACAAACTCTCGGAAATTCAATCATACGATCACCCATTCTTGTCTAATTTACTGCTTTTTTATTTTTATCGACAATGGAAGACGATACTGTGGTGTCTATAGATGACATAAAGTTGTGGACAGTTCCTGCCCTCAAAGATTATCTTCGC